AGAAGACAGTGCATCGTTACAGAAAACTTGCATTACAGGTAAATTGCATCGCGTTCGAGGAGTGCCAAAAGAGCCCTCTGTACTTAACGAGGCAGAAGCTGTCAATTGAATCAACACAACCCAATACTTTCTTTTCCACACACGCACAGCACTCACACTCCACCGATCTATTTATACGCCTCGATTTCCAAGTTGACTCAACTTAGCGGCGACCTCCACTGCTCTTTCTGGGATTCTGACATGCGCAGTCGGTGCCTGCGATGCATCCACAGAGACTGGGGCACAGCGGGTTTTGGATTGCAATGGAACCGCTGGAGTTTCAGTCCAATTAAACTCGTATTCCCGACAAAATGGCTGCGGCCGAAGAGGCAACACCGACCGCTGTGGGTGCGTAGGGGTCCCGCGATGGTCTCCGGTAGGCTGCTGAGACGCAACGCATCCAGGGGCAGTGTTAATGCGGTGTTTTGAGTTAGGTGCGGGGGGGAACTTCGATCTCGGACAGGAAAGGAAAAAATAAAAGAGCAGCGCTGCTCCCTTATAAAGAGGCAGGGATGGAAGACTTTGGATCCGCGTTGGAGAAGAACGCGGCGGAGCTGACAGTCATGGACGTGTACGACATCGCCGCCGTGGTGGGGCAGGAGTTCGAGAGGATCATAGACCAGTACGGGTGCGAGGCGCTGGCCCGGCTGATGCCCAAAGTGGTGCGGGTTCTGGAGATCCTGGAAGTCCTGGTCAGCAGGAACAGCATCAGCCCCGAGACCGAGGAGCTGCGCCTGGAGCTGGACCGGCTCCGGCTGGAGCGGATGGACCGGCTGGAAAAGGAAAAAAAACACCAGAAGGTGCGGTATCGCTCTGGCGTCTGTCCGAGCCGGACGCTAAACGGACAAGCCCTGTCACGCTGGTAGCTGGCCGTGTACTGTGAGTGTGGAAACAGGGCGTTTTAGGCACCAGGCTTTCGCCTGAGCAGCGAAGGAAAGGACAAAACTGCGCTAACGCTTTGATCGCATTTTGTTCACCTCTCTCAATTGCTCGAAGATTCAAAACATGTTCTTTGTGTGTGATAGGCGGCCAGCCTGCTCGAAAAACATAATTTTCTTATCAGAATGGCTAGTGAAGAATGCAGCTTGTGAGACTGGCTGTGATTGCGTGACTAAGTGGAACGGACTCGTTACAGAAACGGAAAATATATTTGGCACACTTTTTCTATTCTTGGTATTTCCTGATTTCCTATGCGCTGTCTCTATTTTAGAGATATGACATCCATATTTTATAACTGCCTTAGAAAGAAGAGCGGTTTATCCCGAGTATAAAAGTTGCACGCATTCAATTTTGTTGTGCACGTTGCACGCTAACGTAATGTAGCAGGTTTTGAAAATGCTACTTGTTGCGCGCTCCTGTAATCCACAAGCTTCTCTCTATTTTTAAAACTGTTTAATTGTTATACTGGATACCCAGGAAGGAAAATAAAGACTGGGTTGTTAAATTTGTAATCCAGCCTGATGTTTAAGAATTCGAAGAGGCGCGTTTGCAGACGACAGGATGAAGAGCTCAGACTGCTGCGCCTCTCGGTCTTATTATCAGTTTTGTCATGGTCTGTAATATACTGTGCTTACACCTAAACTGACAAAGCCGCCCTGCTTTCTGTAAGGACTGCGGCGCTCAACATTGTGTAAAACAGTGTGGAGAAGACATCTGGGGAAAAAGAAGCAATAAGTCAAGGGTAGCCACAGTAGTCCTGAACAGTTACAGTCCACCTCAACTGGTACATTTCTTCACTTAAGTAGTTAAGAGATCATCTAAAACGAAAAAAATGAATGCCCTATAACTGCCAAAGACCACAGCTGGCCATTCCTGACTGAACCAAATTAGTTTAGTACATAGACCAGTGTGTGTCTGTGTTCCAAGTGTTCAGAAATTCGTGCGTTAAGGTTGACCTACAGGGACCTATCGATTGAGGCTCCCCAGGAGAAGGGTTGCCCACCCCTGTATTAAACTGAGGAGCTGCTTTAAGTGTCAATGTGGTCCCATGTATGTAATGCTTTTTTCATATTTTCATATGGTTTGTGGGGGGAAAAAACAAATTCTCAAACCTGATGGTCAGAAAGTGGACAGGAGAAAGCAAATTGGAGACAAACAAGCATTTCCTCCCCAGAGGCATTCAGTGGTTCTGTCCAGGACTTTTTTGCACTGGGGAAAAAAGCTTTGCAATTTACTTTCCCAATCAAAAAAGAAAAAAATGAATATAAATGTTAAAAAAATAATAAGACAAGACTACTGAAACAACCGTGAAGATGTTCATGACTCATCAGGGTGTTGGGTCTGTCTGCAGTGTCAGTCTCACCTGTATTTGTTGGGGTGTTTGGTCTGTATCTGCAGTATGAATATCACTCTTGTTTATCTTGTGTCTGCGGTGTGAGTATCACTCTTGTTTGTCGGGGTGTTTGGTCTGTGTCTGCAGTGTCATTCTCACCCATGTTTGTTGGTGTTTTTGTCCTGTGTCTGTGGAGCCAGTCTCACTCTTGTTTGTCGGGGTGTTTGTCTTGTGTCTGTGGTGTCAGCCTCACCCATGTTTTTGGGAGTGTTTGTCCTGTCGTCAGCCTGTGTTGCAAGTGTGGGTTCTTCCCTGTGCTGACCTGTGCCCTCTGTACCAAGGAGCTGGAGCTGGTGGAGGACGTGTGGCGAGGAGAAGCTCAGGACCTGCTGTCCCAGATTGCTCAGCTGCAGGAGGAGAACAAGAACCTGCTCACTAACCTCTCCTTCAAGGACACCGGCATGACTGAAGAGGACCTGCAGAAACAAGAAGGTGACGGTTAAGAGCCCGACCAATAAAAAACAAAAAACAGCACAGCAACACAGAAAACAAGAAAAGTAAAAAACAAAGAAAGGAGCCTGCACAGCTGATTTGTTTAGCATCATCACTGTTCCACAAGCTTCAAGTCATGTCTTGAAGGGTCATGAGGAATTAGCATGCATACAAGTGCATATACTGTATACACCTACATTAATTTCCAAACGAATTAGTGGCCTCTAAATCATCACTGAGTAATCATCAGCAGTAAGTTGTAAGTATTCGGCTCAGATACATTAGTAATGTTGCTCAATCAGTCGTCAGTGCTTTAAAATAAGGCCACGAGTCTTTCTGGCATTTGTCGTTTAATACTCTTAATTCCAGTTTAGGGTGTGGGATGAGAATTAATTTAACAAGTTTAGAGTGTATTAATCTAATACACTAACCTTATAAGCCTTATTAATCAGCCTAATTTCACACCCACTTATTTAATTAACCACTTCCCAGAAGCCCTGTTGTGAAATTCGGGGCTGCAGTGTGGCTGTGGTATCATTTTCAGTCCTTTTCATCAGTTATCTTTGTAATACATTCATTTCTTCCTATTTTTATCAATAATGTGTGGCTGAACTAAAGCCAGGAGAGGCCGAGGCGCGCAGAGAGGTGCTGTCGGTGTTTTCTCTTGCTGTTCTGTGAGCTGCTGGTGGTGAAAAGGCGCTCGGCGGCCTCAAACCAGCTGCATGGATTCCTGGACGAGCCGAGCAGAGCTGTGAGAGGCACTCTTGTCCGGCGCCCACACACACAGTGGGGCCTTTCAGCGCATAATAATGAACCTCAGCCAGCAGCCGGCATTGTGCGATGTGTGGGTACCGATCGAGGTTCAGGCAACAGTACCGGTGGGACGTTTCAAATCCCTCTGCACAGCACTCGGATGTTGTGGGAGAATTCAGCAGAGTGTAGACGTTCTGAAAGGGTCGTGAATGAGACAAGGCCATTGCTTATTGATCTGAAAATCTTGTTTGGCTGCGTCTGGTGAGATCGGCAGGGAATCTGCTTCACAGAGGGGACTTGTGATTTATCTTGAATCTGATCATTTTCGTTCAATGCAGCGCGATGAATAGTCAAGTTACAGATGGCAGATTTTTTACAGACCTTTTGTTCACGTTAATTTTTTCATTCTTTGATCCTGTGACATTTGTTCTCAAAGGGAAACAATGACCATGCAAATATGTTTAACAGCATTTAGGTGTACAGCATAATAGAGACAAATATTAGGTGCAGTTTATTCACACGCTTACTCGTTTTTCAGGTAGATTTTATTTTTGATTATGATCATGTATGGAGGAAGTGTAGTGTAGAGGTTATGCCTCTGGGCTCAACTGATGGTTGTGGGTTCGAGCCCTTGCTGCAGACACTGCTGTTGTACCTTGAGTGAGGTACTGCACCCGGCTGTGTGAGAGGGGGACCAGCATTGCTTGGGCTTTATTTCTGCAAATGAATTAATAATAAAAGGGTGCAAAACGGTGAGCTTGGGAAAAAAAAGGCATTTGTGTTCTCACACAATGTTTACCTTCTAGGTGAATGTGTGGAGGCAATAAAAAGTCTAACAGCAGATAAGGATATACAGTTAAGATTTCATTTACAACATTAAGTGCAATTTTCTTCACCGCACTACTAAACCGATATTGGTTTTCTGGAATTGGTCCAGTGAAGAACAACTTGATGCATTCCAGGAAACTCCTACTCTGTCATGTTAGAAGAACTGAGCCTTGTTAGCCTTGAATGGAGAAGACTATAAGGAATCTGGATTCGGGTATTCAAAATCGTCACTGGCATCGACCAAGACAGCTCATCTGGGTTCTTCAGAGCCAGCAGGGAAACTTGACCCAGAGGGCACAGACAGGAAGGAATCAGCAGGGAAATGGATTTAATGATGAGACCCAGAGGCACTTTTTACACAGGATTGTGGGAGTTTGGAGGAATGACTTCCTGGCTTCTAGCAGTGGGCTTCTCTCCTTTGTAAACGTTCTCATGCTCTTTGTTTGTAAGAGGTCTGTCCTGACCTTTGGTTCTGTTCCTAAGCCACACCCCACACACACAGGAGGACTCACAGCCAGCCTGTCTTGTCAGCTGGTCTCCGAGTTCAGTATCTAGCACAAGGGGCTTGCTGTATTGTAGTACTAGTTCTTTAATATCTCTTCAGCATAGTAATAAGTGTACTACTAATAAATGTACTGGTTTAGCCTAACTTGGAGATAATGATGAAATAATTCTGCTTGGTGTAATAATCACACCACTTTAATCATTCTTGTGCCAACCTCTTGTTTTAGTGTCAGTTCAGATTTCTGAAGTAATTATCGGCACCCTCACTAGAAAACGTTTTGAGAGACATCAAGCATTTAGTTTGCTTTTCAGAATGCTTGTGTTTCAGGCCAGCTGCAGAACTGGTAGGGCGATGACTGACGCCAGTTTTTGGATCAGGTGTGTTGATGTTGCCGTGCAGTCACCAGCAGAGTGTAGGTGTAGGTGAGTGTAGGTGTGAGTCGTGTCACATGACGCCACACGGGATGAGGTGAGAGGGCAAGAGAAAGACAGTACACACGCAAACACACATGTCCTTGTGCCAGTCTCAGCCTGACCTGCTGCAGTAAAGGGACAGGATGCTATTTTAGAGCAGTCCGGGCACTCGGATGGAAATGCATCCAGTCAAGTGTCTGACATACCAGTTAAGGCTATATTTATTCCGCAGGACACACAACACACCCTGGTGGAAACTCTCAAAGAGGAATTTCCATATCTGCAATCTATATCTCCCATGTCTACATATAGACCCTTGGATCTGTGCTTGCTGTAAACATGATGTGAAATAGTTTTACAAATTTAAATCATGTATAATTGAATATTTAATTTTCTATTTTGAACTGCATTTCCAACAGGATATAGTTATGTTACACTACAGTGTAGGTCCAAGAAAGTTTGAAACCTTTAGCAATAATTTAAATAATAAGTGTTCTCAGATCTAATGGGTAGATATAGCCTAAAGAGGCTTAGCACCTCTGATTATGAACATACCAGAAAGTAGAATTAAACCAGAGTTCACTTTTTACTCACCTTGACAGATAGCTTCTGATACAGGTTGGTTTTAATTACGAGTAATACTGTTGTTGCAGCTGGACTTTTGAATAAATTAGTATCTAGTGACTGTTATCTCCCTGTATCTCCACTCTCCTGGCCAAGCTGAGACATGCTGTAAATTGCCATTTTACCATTGCCATAGAGCAATGCAGTAGATTGTCATTTTAAAAATATGACACACAAATATGAAAGTGCAGTATATTTCAGCGTTTGTTGAAAATGTAGTTTACAGACTGAGTGACAGGCTCTCTAAAGAGAGTCTCTGTAGTTTCCCTGGATTGTGTATCCAACCCACCTTCCTGGGACCGGGAGTGAGGGGGTGCTGGCCTTGTTATTCAGTTGGGTTGCTCTTTTGGTGGCTGTGTGAGCTGAATGACAGCTTGGTTCCGGACCGTCTCAGGCCTCCCTGACGACTCGTGCGTTCCTCTGGGCAGGCATGTCGGAGAGGGAGAGGCAGGTGATGAAGAAGCTGAAGGAAGTGGTGGACAAGCAGAGGGATGAGATCCGCGCAAAGGACCGGGAACTCACGCTGAAGAACGAGGACATCGAGGCAGTAAGAGCTCACTCCCTCCTTGTTGTCCTTGGCTGCACCCACCATTAATCCACATTTTCCAAACTTCATCTCCTTATTTTTTTAATGGAAATTCTGGTTTTAAAGAATAAAAATTGTTAAAAAAAACAAAGTGAACCCCAGTCAAAGATGAAAAAAAAAGTTTGATCTGTTTTAGTTTTATGCTGTTTGAGCCCTAAGGATAATGCAAGCCATTGTATCACAGTGTCCGGGAAAGATTGAAATAAATCTGAAAATGTTTAAATCTGAAATAACTACAAACTCTTATGTCTTCACATGCAGTAGGTCTTTAAGACTTTAGAGAGTCTTCAGAGAGCAAAACCAGCTGGTTCTTTAAAATAATCAGCCACTTTAGCAAAGCTGGTGCAATACACAAGTAAAAGTAACTTGTCCAAAATACAATAACTATCCACTCCTAAAATATGCATTAGACACATTCAGTCCAATTGACCTTTTCATGATAACCGTGTATTAGATCATGAGTAGTAAACAGCCTTTGGGCCTCCATGGGAGGTGAAAGTGCTTTTTTATAATGTGACTGCATGCTGAGTTACTGTATATTGCACTCTTTGAGCTGGCAGCTCCAGCAGGTCAGCTGGTTCCGACCTTGACTGCCTGACCTTTCACAAGGTCGGGCAGTGAAAGATGGCGACTGGTAAATCCTCTGACGCCCAACACCAGCTCAAACAGCCAACCCATTGTCATTCAATTCATTTTTATAGAGCACTTTTCACAACAAGGTTGTGAGGAGAGAAACCAAAAACTCCTTAGTAAAGAGGGAAAAAAAACCTCTAGGGGTCCAAGGTCCAACCTTGGGCAACCCCTTTGGGCATGCTAACATTATACAATAAAAAAAAGAAATCAAAATGAAATCCATGCCATCCTGACATGCTCGCAACCAGGGTCGGGCCCGTGCAGCTGAACCCCTGGGTCTCCTCTGTGTGTGTGTGTGTGGCCCTGCAGCTGCAGCAGCAGCAGAACCGGCTGATGAAGATCAACCACGACCTGCGGCACAGGATCACGGTGGTGGAGGCGCAGGGCAAGGCGCTGATCGAGCAGAAGGTGGAGCTGGAAGCCTTCGCCCAGACCCGCGAGCAGGAGCTGGGCAGCCTGAGGCTGGAGCTCAGCAAGCTGAGGGAGAAGGGGCAGGGAGACCCGAGCCAGGGGAGCGAGGAGCCCAAGGTGAGCCCAGCGCGGCGCACCACGCCGGCAGCCGGCTCTGCCGTCTTCTGTGAGAGGACTCCAAACCGGGCGCTGCCAGGCAGTACGGCATTGTGACACAGACGGGCCTCACGAGCCCTTGATCTCCCAAAAGAAGCGGGATTTCAGTTCATCTCATTTTCAAGGTGCCTCAGTTACTTGTCTGGATTCAGTACGCCATATGGAGCGTCAATAAAACCCCCATTCTTGTGTATTTGGGGTGCCCTCGGCCCTTCTGTTGTGAAGGGTGTAGATTGAGAGCACAGCGTGTGTAGAGGACCCAGGTCATCTCACAGTGTGTCTGGCTGGTAGGAGCCCCAGAGAAATAGCTGGCTGGTAGGCATTGCAGATAACTTGCCTTGAGCCAGAAAGTGAAGCGTTACGTGAGGGCAGATTCACGCCCGGACTAAACATCAGCCAAATCGCAACAATATTGATCTGTCACACAGGAAACAAGCTGTCCAGTAAGAACATGAAAGAGTCTGCAATTTGAGAGGAGGCTGTGTGGCCCACATGACTCATTTGGTGGTTAGTAGCTAAGTAAACTAAGAACCTGCTCCAGCCTTTCCTCAACAACATGGCTGGGTAGCTTGTTTCAGGCTCCCACAATCCCTTTGTATTCTCAGAAATGTTGCACTACAGGAAATACAGAATAAAAGAAAAACATGTTGAGAGAGGGAGTGCTCTGGCCTAAACTAGGAAAGTCATTAAGAGCTTAGGGGGAAAGAGAAATCACAGTGAGAACCTAGACAAAGTAAGATGAGACCTGGAAACAGTGTATTCTAAAAAGTAATAAGTATCGATCTTTTTGTTGAATAGAAACAAATGCATGTTTTATTATGTTACATTTAAAATGGAAATCCTGAAATTGAAATGTATACATGATCAGGGTGGATTATTTAGGAATGTGTGTAAAATGTTCTATAGTGAGTGACAGAGAGAGACATGGGGAGGTTGTGTGAAATTCACAGCCTGATGATTCATGATCTCATTTTAACTGGAACAGAGCCAAAAGAGTTTGAGTCACTCTGGAAAATAGGGTGGCGTGATTAAATGTGCTTACTGAGCTTGTGATGGATCTCCTGTGAACAGTGCTTGCTTCACATTGCGGTCGCATTATGCAGAGAGGGACAGGCAATATCCTGAAGGAGAAATAAAGAAGAATAGACAAAGTTTATGTACATATCCTGCTAGTATTTACATTAAGTAAGCATTTGTGGAACACATCTAACCCCTCATAAACATTTTCTATGATACGTAGCCAAAAGGCTGTAGTGAAATTATGCTTAAAAGCAGGTGTGGTAAATTCTGATGCAAATTATGGGAGGTCAAAGCAAAGTATAAGCCCAGCAAAACCACAGGGCTTAAAATAATGGAAATGTACAGGTGTTGTTCTTGGCTATAGTGGTCAAACTAGATATTAAATGCTTAATTTTTGTCTTGAAATTGTTCCTTGTTTCTCATGAATCAGTATTAAAATATACTGCTCTGTAGTTGGTATAATTCAGGCACTAGCATGCTCACCAGCACAGAAGGGCGATGTCAGAAAGGAAAGTGAGGGGCACTGTGAAAAATTGAAATCTATGCCACGTGCCCATTCCTAGTTCAACAATTTGCTGATCAAAGCTTATTGAATTGGAATATCCTGAAAGCATGTTATCAGGCCACCTGTATAGGAAATGACCATAATTCAGATCTCAGAACCCAATTACTGCACTATGCAGAGTGCTCTGTCCGAGGGGAGATTCCAGATCGAACGCTTTGAGCCCGTTCAGCGCCTCTCTCTGTTCCCCCGGATTGTGGAAGTGGAAAATGAAGAAGAGAGTGAAAATGACGAAGAGCAGGAAGAGGAAGAGGCAGTGTTATGGGTAACTGCACTGTCTGGTTTCCAGGGGTGGTGTGCTTTGATCCTAACCTCATTGTGCTCAGAGTGGCTGTTCCTATAAATCCTGCAAAATCAAGTGCAGTGAGCCCTGCAGAGACGTTTCCTGCAGCCCCTCCAGCAGTGCTGGAGCGTGTGGGAGTGTGTAGTCACGTCACACACGTGGCCTGTGTGTGTGCTGTGATCGTGAATGTGCATGCCTCTCAAGCTCCAATGTGCTGGCCTGCTGCTTGTTTTTAAAGAGTGTTTTTTTCCCCAAACATTCTGACAAAGCATCATCCTTTTAGTCAAGCTGGTGGCAATGAAGTAAGTAACAATTATAGGGTAAAAATTAGGGTAAAAATTATTATCTGGGAAGGGAAAACCAGATAGAACACGCATAAATTCATTTATTGCTAACTAAATTGTTCATGCGTTATTTGGGTCGCACATAATTGCTGGGTCTGCTGTGAAGTTGTTGAAGTATTGGACTGCCTTTTTTTTTCCCCCAAGTGTGTCGTGCCACTTATTGAACAACGCCGAAATTATCTAAAAACCATTGAGTAAAAAAAGTTTAAAAAAAAGACTTTTAGATTTGTAGTGCTGGAAAGGAGCGTTTGAGAACTCTCCCTAGCATGTGTGTGTTGCAGGAAGCACTGATGTGTTGCTGGATCCCATGCAGTAGACAGTGGAATCAGTTCCATCATCCGGGGGACAGCAGTCCTGTAGTGTTAGGCACTAATGTGATGGTGTCGTACCCAATGTTGATATCAAGACAACCACAGGTCTATAGTAATCCCAGTCAAATTTTTCTAGACCCCTCCTGCTCATTTCCCTAGGTTCTGATGTTTTGCACTTTGTGGATCAGCTTGGCCAGAGATGCCTTATGGACACATAACATCAAGAATGTATTAAGGCAAACTGCTGCTGTTGCCTCAGAAAGCCCAGAAGCTCTGCAATGCTAGAAGACCATAGGAAGTGAATTAGCATGCTAGACGTACAGGCATGTACTATACCAACCCCTTTTCATAAAGGGTTCTTTCATTCTTTAAGTTAGATATGACCATAATTTCTCACTGACTCCAAGTAACATCTTGCACAACTGAATGCTTCCCAAACTCAATAGTGCACAGAATCAAAATCCATTAAATCATGGCAAAGCTACATTTGAAAAACTGCACAGAAAATATTTTACACTGCAGTATATCTGAAGAGAACTTTAATTACTCATTACTAATTATATTGTGCAACAAGGTGGTCGGTCTAGAACTAAACGCTTCATTTACAAGTAGTGACAAGCATGTGATTTTGCTTGAGAAGTGTTGGGTCTTGGCCCGTGGACATTTTAGATTGGAAGTTTTGTAGAAGGTGAGACCAAGAGGGGGGGCGCTCAACAACATCTCTCCACGTCCTTTCAAAAGGAGCCGGTGTACGAGGAGGACCTGTCCACAGACAAGGCCGGGCTGGACCTGCAAGACCCAAACCGCCCTCGATTCACCCTGCAGGAGCTGCGTGATGTGCTGCACGAGAGGAACGAGCTCAAAGCAAAAGTCTTCATGTTGCAAGAAGAGCTGGCCTATTATAAAAGGTAGCTGAACATCAGGGGGCTTTTATTATTAAAGGGTTAGTTCAGTTACTCAAACTTATTTGAACAAACTCAGGCTCTCAAAGTGAACATGCTGAGATTTTAGCAACAATGGAATAAAAAGGTTGAAAAGAAAACCGAGTTCCACTCTTCTGTCAAGGTTACTGACAGATAGTATTATTTTCCTCAGTGCTGGCTCAAACGCTAACTTTATTCCTTTATACTCGACCGGCTCGTGTCTGGCATCCTCTGCAGTGTTCTCTCTTTCTCCTCCACAGTGAGGAAAATGGGGAAGAGACCAGCTCTTCCGCTCCCTGGCCTGCCCCCCCCCAGCCGCCCCGCCCCGCCACCCAGCCAGAGTCTGGAATCAAGCGCCTGTGAGTACCCCCGGGCTCAGGCCCCGGCTCTGCTGAACTGCGTCTCCCACATCTTCTGAGCACTTCTCCCGGCTCTGTCTGCGTGACGGGCGCTGCCTGCAGTCTTAAAGATTCCCCATTCGTGAACCTTAGACGTTCTAATATAGGATTCCTTGTTGTGTTTGCGCAAAATGTCAAATGGAACTAAGTCTTTCACTACACATTTTTTCCTTGCTCTACTAATAAACTCTTCACCTTTTAGTAAGTAATGAAGACATTAACTGCTTCACGAAGCATGATACAGTAGTAATATTTTCTCATTTCTCATTTGCCACTAGGGGGTTATTCGCTAAAATGAGCACTATCAACATACAGTAATAGACTTTGACTTGTTGGCCATTAGAATAACTTAATTGTGGCACTTTGGAATTAAGTATAGTTTTACCTTGCACCAGTAATAGGCTATGAACTCCAGATGGAGTGTGTGAGATGCGTGTCTTAGAACAGAGGACCACAGAATTACTAGCAAATCAATCGTAATCCAGAGCTGAAACTCCCATTCTTTGCGCCTCTAACCTCTCTGCTTGTGTCCCTAATCGCTGTCCAAATGTATCATGCTGTGCGCAGAACACCTCGGCAGTGATTTTTCAGCCTTGATAAACATGCACCGTGTTTCCGGTCAAGCTTCTCCACGTGCCCTGAGTTTTCAGGTCTTGGGTGAGCTGAGCCTGTCACAGGGAAGGGGGGTACTGGGGGGGCGGGGCGGGATCATGTGCGAGAGTCTAACCTATTTGTGATACAATTATATGTCCTGCCTTCTTCTCTCTCCCCCTAGTGCTGAATGCCAGGTTAAACACAGTAATTTGCTAATTTTTACTTCATGGTCTGTCTGCCTTCTCTACATTGTGATGTTGCTGCAGGTAAAATGAAGGAATGGTTGTCACACGCTTGCCAGCCCTGTGCCAGTCTCCCACTTTGTGCAGTTATAAACACGTGCATGATTTGACTTTTCCCATGTAGCATGTCCTGAACCAGCAGCCCCCTGGCAATCTGGCAGACAGAGCAGACAGGAGATCATTTTCCCTGAGCACCCTGAGGTGGAGTCTGTAGGCCTCTCCTGTGGCCCTGTTGCACTTGTAGGTTAGACCTGTGGATGAACTGAGTTTGTGCTCTAGCACTAGAGGATGTGTAGAGTCCCCTGACTGTAACACTTTAGCATTGACACTACAGCTGTGGGTAGTGCAGAAGAATGTCACTTATTTTTTAAGACATCTAAACTAATAACAAATGAGTTATATGCAGTCTGCAGGATCCTTGCCTCTTTTTTTAACCTTTTAGCGAATCTTCGAAGTGTACGTGTTATTTTTTGCAGCAATGGTTCTACAATCTGAAAAAAGGTGTTTGTCAGGAAAGTACAGTCTTGTCAAATGCTGTACATCTGAGATTAAATCTAATAGCTCAGGCCCCCAGTTCTTTAAATCTGGGCTAACAAAAGATCTGGTAGCCCAAATTAATAGACAGTTGCAGAATACTGCTGGCTGAGTTGCTAACATTTGGCTGCAAAAATAACATAACAGATTTTTCCACAGATTTGAGTCAAACACTACTCTGCAACGTAATGCTTGGATGCTTGGCACCAGCTCCAAGGTTTCTTCATGTACTCTTGGATGAAGCATGCTTAATTTATGAGTTTTGGCTAAAATACATCACAGAAGATAAGGCAGACACATTGCATATTTGAGTTAAATTTGAGAAATAGTCCCTGAGCATGATTACCAATCTATGCCAATTATCCAATGTTCAGTCGAAAAAAAAAAGTCCAATGTGATACATTTCAGATATGATAATGGCTTGTGCTCAAGGCTGTATGATGGATTTTGTGAATTGCCTTGTTTCTGTAGTTTGTTTTAATGATAAAATCTTTTTCCCTCATAGCATACATTCCTGTATGTACTCTATTATAATTCTAACATACATCTGTATGCACACTATTTTAAATCAGTGTCTTTTTCTATATTGAGTTTTTCAGTGTGCTAAATGTTTGACAATAAATTTCCCAAGGTATGTTTCTGCATTAATAATAACTGAAACTATAATAAGCTTGTTAAACCTGTATATAACTCCCCAAATTCAATAAACAACCAAAACTAGCTCATATGCATTAATATAATAATACAGTGCTCTTAGACAGCACTGTTTGAAAATTCTGTTCTAAAAAAATACTTTTAAAGATGAGCATTTGATCTGAAAACCCCAGAGTATTGTGGTTTAGCTTGCTTTTTAAAATAGTATTTTAAGTTTGTCAAAACAGGAGAGGAGAAGCACCTGTGTGTTGCTTTACATCAGGCTGTCATGGAATATGTCAGCTAGTTGTCATTATGAGTGGAAAATGTGATTATAAAATAAACACTTTAGAAGCCTTAATTATAAGACAAAAATGCTTACATTGTTAATTACGAGTTATGCTGAATATGAATATGGTATTAATGTCACGACTACAATATGCAGTATAATATTGTATTGACCAGAGAGATGATGATTAAATCAGATGTTTAGTTAAGACATTGTCCATAAGCAACATGTCAGTGTGTCCCTCTGATGGTCTACTCCAAACTGATGCTCCTGTACCTCTTGCAGTTTGTATTGAACTCCCCTGCCTGTGCTTGCTTGGGCTGCAAAAGGTTTATTTGTGATGCACAGACATTGTGGGTGCGAGTTTCCAACCATACAGAAAACCAGCCGCCTGCAGTGCATGAGGATCTGTGCGGGAGCAGAGAGGGTGGTGTTTTTACACAGAGGTGTGCTAAGGGCCCGTACAGGTTCATGGGTGGGATGCCAGTTTCAGGGGTCCCTTCATCTTTGTCATTGCTTGACCTATAATATTCACGTCATATGACTCTTGACCACATCACGAATACTTCAGCATGAACTGCGCCTCCGCTAGCTTACCAGGTCTGTCTGATATCTCTGCCCCAAGCGTAACCTGCCCCTGCTGTAGCTCTCACTGGCTGTGCTGTGCAGGAGTGCCCTTGTGTCTGTTCGCCTCACTGTGTGTCAGCTGCTCATCTCTTCGTGTCTGTGCTTTTCCAACCAGGATCTTTACAGCCATAATGCCGATGGTGGCAGCTGGATTGATTCCAGATGATCCCACATTACAGCCAATCAGAAGACTTGTGTCCCTTGTACGATCATTCGGTTGTTGTTTTGTGTCTTTGTTGTTGTTTTTTTACACGTTTCTTCCTCTTTTTCCTGCACGGCCTGTTGCTCTCCCTCTCCCCGCATGTACTGACGTGCACGCTGTTCACTCAGGGCACTGCCGCCTATTCTGATTGGCTGATTGTGGGGTCTGTTCAGTTTTACGCAGGTCGCACCGTTTGGATCAGCCAGTCAGAATCCCCCCCCCCATCCAGTTACTCCTCCCATTTCTTTCACATTCATTTTATAATCCACACTTTCCACCTGTGTTTCTCCATATAGTTGCTAAACCCTAATGCGACTAACATAGGACTAAATCATATCGGTGCCTGTTTGAAAAGAAATAAAATCTCTTCATATTTAAAGAGAAATTAATGCATCTTTGGGACTGTCGTTTCAGTTTTTTTTTTAGAATTAATTCTAACTGTGGCGCCTTGTTTTGACTTAATCCTTTAAAGGCCACATAAAATGCTGAAGTACATATATTGTCTTTTTAAAACCTTAACTTCTTAAGCATATCAAACTGCTGGGATGGACTGGTGCATGAACAGATCCTGACTGGACTGGATGGGTGTTTCACAGAGATGTTATGGAGGGGGCTGGTTGCAATGTGCAGCTGGGAAATTGCATTAGTCTGTCCTTTCTTGTCTGTATACCTCCCACCCCCCACTCCCTCCTGCAACGTTTTTGATTAACTAATTGCAAGTGAATAATCCAAGATCAATAACAAATTTAAATGATGTGGTAGCCTAACACACCCGTAGATTAGAGATGTTCTACTCTAATCCAGTTTTAAATGAAGTGATAAGCATACTAATACTGCACAGCTATATTTCAAGAAAGATGTTTGAACATCTTTTGCTGTTCTGATAATAATTCAGCACGTCCAACTAATGATGACGTTGAAGCTGTGAATACTTTTTTTTTAATTCTTCCTTGGCTATGGTTTTATCTGTAGTTCTTTTTCTAGCTTAAGTAACATTATATAGATGATACCTAAATCTTTTATAGTTGACCAAATTCGATTATGCATTTACTCATATGCAAAATGTTTTGATATATATTCGTTGTTTATAACTTTTTTTTTCTGCTTGCCTCACCCTTCGTTGCAGGTTTAGCTTCTTCTCCAAGGACAAGAAACGCAACTCCCAGAAAAACGTGCGCTTCGAAGACACCTTCGGCGGCTGGGCCAACAAAGATGACGTGTACACGGAGCAGGCGCAGGAGGCCCTGCAGCACCTTTAAACCCGCAACGCGTGACGGAAACTCGGACCCGGACAGCGAGCCCCGCCGCCTCTCTCGTGCATTGCGGGTTTAGACAGGCGCGACCACACACACACACACAAAAGAAGAGCGCACGTTAACCGAGAGGAACTGCATTTCAAAAAGCGAAGCCACCAAAAAGCCGTCCCGCTAGGGGGCGCAAAAGACTCCGCATTGCACAACAGCATTAACAGCTTATTGGTAAGCTTCATAGCCTTTTTTTTTTTTAATTGCTGCAGCACATGTGGACATAGTAGTGTTTTTACCATTTACCAGTATAGTTAAATCTATGCCAAAACGTGTTTGCATTAAAAAAAAATGCACAAGTAGCTAACATCCTCATGGTGCGTGCCAACGGTCCGATGGATGGCGGGCAAGTTGAACTTGCTATTAAGGAGTAACACTGGAACATGAGCTGAAACTGCACAGTAGACGTGTTTTTTTGGGACGCCACTGGATCTGAATGACTGGCGACTTCCCACAGCGGTCTTCAAACGATAGCAAAGAAATGTCTTCTCATTGGAGGCTCGGTGGATACCTTCCACACGAAGAGCGCGAGCAGATTCCACCCGGAGTTTCCTCTGGGAGGCAGGGCCTGGCCAGGGCAGGCAGGGGAGCCCTGGAAGAACTGCACGGTGGGATTGAGAAAGAAGCGGGACGTCGAGACGGGAGCAGACGAGGCCGGAGTGAGAGCCGCGGGCTCGTGGGAGGAGACGGGGACAGGAGAGGAAGGGACAGAGGGAGAGAGAGAGAGAGAGACGCGCGAAGTGGGAGTTCGGGATGACAGAACGCGAGGAAGAGGAGGCAGGTGGAGCAGAGAAAAGGAGGAACTGCGTGCAGATGTGATCAGCTTCAGAAAAAAATAGGAGCAGTGTTTAAAAATGGACACTGAAACAACGTAGTCGGTATCTCCAAAAGATCAGACTCTATCACGTGCCGCTAAGAAACAGCAAGTTGTTATTGGTGGCCCTGCTGTGGTTGGATTCAGCTTTTTACGTTTTTGATGTGTCGGGTATGGGGTACTTGCCTAAACTGCAATAGGCAGCTTAGTGAATGATGCATTAGGTATATTTAAATACCTAAATACAGCCTGACAATTAAACTTCCCAGACGATTCCTAAAAGGTTTATCAATGAGGGCCAGGAAGATGTCCCTCAACACCAGGGCCAACAGCCTTTCTTCCAGGACAGAAGCCTTCCTGTGGGCTAGCGTATGCTACACTGGCTGCTTAGCACATGGTGGAGGACACTCACTGTCCCACGTCAGTATCCCTGAGAATTATTTAGCAGACGTTTAAAGCTGTGAATAAAGCTCTTGGAATCTGTTTGACTGTAAACCAATCGAGTGGTTGACTTGCCTGCATTAAAAAATATTCAGTGTTCTTGTCTTCACCAACAATATTGAAAATCCTCAAGGGGGGTTAAGGGGGACCCACCCCAGAGTATCCCTGAAAAGCTTTCCGACTACAAACAGGCAAAAAAATTCTGAAGTAGTTTTCAACAAATACATGTGCTAAGAAAACATATTCCGGATATTGTGCCTTTATAAAACCCTACAAAAGAATGAAAAAAGGAGGAAAGATTGCACAGCACAAAAACTTGATTTTTCACAACTATGTTGTCAAACGAAAGTTACAACTTTTTGAATACCATAATGAGTCGAAACACTGCTGCTAAATACCAGGACTTGTTGTCTACTTTGTCTTGACCATTAAGAGTTTGGGGTTTTTTGTAAGCAGATTTCTTACAGGGAAAATTAGACTCAACATGTTGGGGGTGGGGGGAAGCTACATCATTGTTTGGCTCTTGCGTAAGATTTTTGACATGAGGATGATTTAAGCTGAAAATCCTCCTTACACATCAGTGGAATTATTCAAATATCATATTTTATCTTTTTTTAATTTAATTGACAAAACTGTGTAATGGACTGCATTCAAAGACGTCCAGCTTTCACGGACAGCAGGTCCAAGCTCGTTTTTCAAGGACAGACCAGGTGCCCAACACAGCACAAACGCCAGAAGTCTTGATTGTGTGCAGAAAGGCCCAGTCTTTCCAAATGAAATTGCCAACATAAATCAGATCTGGGGCAATGCAAGCAGTAAAATGGATCTTTAAGTCAACAGGGACCTCCAGAAAGGGACTGAATTATTTTTTTTAAGAATAACATAAAATATCCATTAAAAAGAAGGGAATTCATTCTATATTTTTGATTTGTGTGCTCTGGCTTCATATTTAAATGTTTTGTGATGCTGTAACCCACTTGTATATGATATCCTGTTAAGCTTATGCTGAAGCAAATGGTTGACATTGAATTGTTAAGTTTCTTTTTTGCCATTGTGGATGCTTCAATTTTTCATCTACAGAAGGCCTTTCCTATTTTGATAAGTGCAGTATTTTAGTGGTGGAATGTGCCATGGAAGTGTTTTTGTTGTTTTTTTAAAGCAATACAGTGTTGACTCCAGACATACCTGCTTAATAAAGGACTTACACTCTTCTTGGGTGGTAGAATATTTTCACACACCTCAGAGTAAGCTCTGGGTTAAAAGGTGATATACAGAAAATTTTGCAGAAATGCCTCACTCTTTAAGTGTTGCAAAATTGAGGTTTGAAATAGAATTTATTAGATTAACAGGTGTCAAATGAAAACGCATGAATTTTTTTTAAAAAGCTAAAACACAAAAGTCATCACAATCCATCAGAATTTCATTCAATAAATTTCCAGAAGAAATATAAAATGATTGTGTTCTTGTCATAGTCTCTGGAAAAGCATAGCCCCTTACTCTGCTTGGGGGTAATGTGCCACCTCTATATTAAAGGAAATGGACACTGTTCACAGGTAAAGTGGGGGATCTGTTTTTTTATTTTCTTGGACAAAACCAAGTCTCAGGGTACATCTTGGAATCAAGAACCTCAGCAGAAGGTTCTTAATTGTTTATGAACCTTTTCAATGTGAAAGTGTTGAAAGAAATGACAGAACACTGCCACATTACAAGGAGCAGACTGGGCAGAAAGAGCACATCAGCAAGAAAAACCATCTGTATCTGGAGATGTGCAAACACATGCACAGAATGAGTACATATGAACGAAAATGAACGATTCCACCACAGTTCAGAGCTTGAGGCTTCCAGTTTTTTTCAAAGGTCAAAGCTCTGCGATTTGTGATGGAGAATCAAATAACTAGTTTCCAAAAGATTTTTGACTCGTATAGCCTTAATCTGAAGGAGAGGTAACATCTCTCTGCAATATCTCCCATTTCGGATGCCGTTCACCTTCTGTCTTTGTGCCTGTCCTTGTCCCTTTGTCTGCCATCATCTTTTTCCCTTTTCGATTTCCTTTCCTTGCTCCTCTCTCTCTCGCGCTTGCTGCTCTTCCTTTCCTTCTCGCACTCCCTTCCTCTGTCGCTACGTTCTCTTGTCCTCTCACGCTCCTCCTTTCGGTCTCTGTCCCTTCCCCGGTCTCTGTCCCGGTCTCTCTCTGGAGGAGTCCTGTCCCTCTCTCTGTCCCTGCGCCACTCCTCCCTCTCGCCTGCCTTCTCCCACCTCCTGTCGCGGGGCCTGTCCTGGGGCAGGGTCCTTTCGTTCAGCATCTGGGGCACGTTGATGGGCTTTCGGAACGGCCTGTCCCGCCCGCCGAACCTCAGCTGGCCCGATTCCTTCTTGCCCCCCAGCCCCCCGCCCAGTCGCCGCGGTACCCAGCCCTTCAGCGTCCTCTCCTGCTCGTAGTCCACAAACAGCTCGTGCTGGTCCACCACCATCTTGTTGGCGTCTCTGTGGGCCTTCACCAGCGAGCGCTCCTCCTTGTACTCGATGAAGGCGTAGCCTTTGGAGAGGCCCGTCACGATGTCCCGCACCAGGCGCAGTCGGCGAATGTCGCCGTACTTGGAGAAGACCTCCCGCAGCCTCTCCTCTGTGGTCTGGTGGTGGAGCCGGGAGACAAACAGCGTGAGGTGGGGGTCTCCAACAACACCCTTGTTGGGGACGTAGCGGGCCACCATGGCCCTCCATACCGCCCGATCGTGGGGCTCCACGTCTGTGCCATCTATGCTCCCCGCTTTCAGGGGGTCATACACCGTCGCCACGGGGGTCCAGTCGTTCATCCTCTGACGCAAGCAGACAACAAAGCGCACAAATGAATGAGCCGGGTTCAGTTTAAGGAGGCGGGGGTTAGTACGAAGGAAAACACAGCCTTCACTAGCCGGTTAGCAAACTTTATTTTGAGAAAAGGACAAGGAAGAATAACGGCAGGTTCTCTCGTCAACTGTCCACCCCACCACACTCCCCCCGGGTCAGAGACCAACGTAAGCTGCTCTCATGCTAAACAAACTACCACAGTAAAAGTGAACCCGACTAAGAACATAAAATATAAAAAACTGCTTAGGAAAATATGTTAACCCAAATTAAATACGCGTCACACTGATCACACGGACAATCTTTCCAAACTCGCAGCTGGGAGCCAGTTTAAAAACGCATGGGTGGCATAAGCAGTTTAGGTTATGCTACAACCCTTTATAGTCTGTCCAGCTACTATGTTTTCCTTACGGTAGTAAATAACCCCGCTTAAAAAACAACATAGCATTAAAAACCTCTGTATGTAGAGGGCTACAAGCAGTGTTATACTGACGCCAGTAAACCGTATCTGAAATGGGTGAAACAGAACCTAAAACACACCGTTTAAAGGCCCCAAAGAGGGGTTCAGTAGCACTTCTCTGCCACACAAACTAGGAAACTTCAGGGTGTGGACGGAGGACTCTAGGAAAATTCAAATATGCCTTTGTCCGAAAGATACATTGTGACCGCATAAACGATTAGTGCGCATTACAAATGAGAGATTAAAGTAAACTTTATGTGGACCTCAGCAGCAACGAGCGGAAATAATAATAATGGACTACAGCACAGAACACTACAATTCATTGAACGACTTTCCTGAAAGCCGACTTTGAAAAACATTCAGCGTTTTGCAATTCGCTCATAATCGACTGTAACGCCAGTGTTGCTGAACATCAATATTGCATATTTCTTTACAGCTTAACCCGAAGTTCAAAATATCAAGAAAGCTCAGTTAAAACAACACTATGGGAAATCAAGATTTTTTAAGACTTACAATTACGTCCTTTTCCAAACAGTTCTAAAAAGCTCCTCAGGGTTTTAGACAGCGCGCATCATCTCACTAAATTGTACCTTTGTGCATCTTCAAAAACACTCCGTGTTGAAACCGTTCCCGATCAGAATCCTTTCCGTTTACTGAGAATAAAGGACTGTTTTTTTCAACACATCTATATTAACACAAACCTTAACCAAAGACTCTTACACAGTTTTCAGAGATTTTTTCTGTAATATAAGAACCTGGCTGTTATAATTAAACACAAATAATGAATAGAAACTGTTTTAAGGGTGTAGCCACTTAATTACTGAGCCCATGATTTATCCTATTATTGCAATGCCTTTGTGCACTTTAATGTACTCTTCCAGTGAATGGATTACGATGAATGGTTTACTGCATACCTGTCTACATTGTGTATCCTTTAAAGATATTTTTGTACAGTGTATTGTTTGTTTTGAAATGAAAAAGGTTACATTGCATTCGCATTCGTATAAAATCAAGAATTTATTTTTTGGAGTTTACAGCTTGCATCACAGTAAATCGGTTAATTCATCTCGATTTAAAAAAAAAGGTTAAATATAGATTGTCTTCACAGCAATGGGGTATTTTTTTTTTACTTCACAATCTTTATTACGTGATAAAAAGTATCGCTGTAACCAAATTCACACACAGTAGCGGAACAAAAATGATCTGGAAACTCCGTCATACGCTTATAAAGTATCACATGCTGCGTTTCACCTGACTTGCTCGCTTGGCTTCACCTGTCACTAGGAGAAGCGTTGCCTCCTGAGATATATACAGACATCGCCGAAAGGGGTTTCACTTTCTGCGAGTACAATTGGCCCAAGGCCGCGTCAGTCAAGGAGGGACTGTGGCAAGTTGCCCAAAGTTTCCAAAAGAAGGAAGTTCAAAGAGGTTGTGCGATGACCAGGGACCCTCTCGCACTGCGAGCAAACAACAGCGAAAACTAACCATCAGACGGATCTGAGCTGACTTCAAAGCGTGAAGGAGACGTTTCAGCTTTTACAGAGACACTTTGTTGAACATAAAAACACACCACCGCGGGCGGCAGCTCCTGCAGCAGAAGCTATGGAGGGGCTGGACACGACCCCTGCTCTGGCTTTCGAGAAAGACGCGTTTGATCTGACGGTGGAGGACGTGTACGACATCTCCTATGTGATCGGGAGAGACCTGCTCAAAATCAACAGCGCCGGCGAAGAGGTGTCCGAGCTGCAGTTCAAAATTGTCCGGGTCCTGGAGATGTTTGAAGCCCTGGTGAACAGGCACAACCTGACGCTGGAGGAGCTGAAAATGGAGCGGGACAATCTGAAGAGCGAGCTGGACCGGCGTCTGAGTGAGGGGTCGGAACAGGGGACGGTGAGCTCTTCGTCTGCAGTGTGCACAGGAGACATTTCTTCTTCCTTGTATTACACTAGCTCGACAACTGGTCGATCCAATGCGCAACTGAAGAGCACTAAGAAACCTGATGCTATTCCTTGTTGACCCAGAATGAAGAACTTTCCCCTTTTATTTGAACTTTTTTTCAAAACGTCCCGTGAGATGAATCCGAGAAATGTTGCGGACAGTAGTTGACTTTTGAGTGTTTTTTTTTTATTTTCTATGTACCAGTTTTTACAATTACACGAGATAATACCTCGAGAAGTACATATTCTGACGTATACCTTTCATATAAAGGTATATAGTAAAAAAACTATAATGAATTCTGACATTTACGTTTTTTTAAAAAAAAAATAAGTACTGCTTTCTAGTGAAGCACGAGTCGAAAAGTGATTTATTCTGTTCTGATTTGTTTTATGTGGGTCGCACTTGTGACCCGTTATTAAATGAATGGGAAACAGAATGACAGCTAACTCCTTCGACTGTGAGAGCAGCTCTTAATGTTCTACGGGAATTTAGAATTTCACACATGTGGACGTGTTCAATTTCTGGACATTGAATTCTGCGTTTAGCTGTTTCTCTCAATAACAAAAACACATTTTATAAATATATACTATTTGTAAAACGTTGCTTATAACCAGACTGCTCAAGCAGAACAGCTCAATTCTTTCACAACACTCATATTAATATTGACAGAGCGTGACTGGTCATATGTGGACATGGGATATAGAAAATAATCTAATTACAGTTTACTTTCAACAGAAGGTTTTGTTCGGGGGAGGAGAATAAATTCGGTGCCTCGTAATGCTTATCCACTGGAAATACTTTAGATTTCACCATTTTGTGCTAATTAACACGCGGCTTTTCTGGATGGGTCTCATCCGGAGAAATGATTCGTATTTTACAGATGACGATCGGTTCGAACAAGATGGTAGTGGACCTCAAGGATCCGAACCGGCCCCGGTTCACTTTGCAGGAGCTGAAGGACGTGTTGCAGGAACGGAACCAGCTCAAAGCCCAGCTCCTGGTGGCCCAAGAGCAGCTGCAGCTCTATAAGAGGTGTAGTCAGATGCGCTGTGTCTCTCCGCGTCCTTCTTGGAAAGGGTTTATTTGAACTAAGAAAACAGGGGATGACGCCGAATGGGGATAATAACGTGGTGTGGTCATGTCTGCAGTGGGATTTTGCCTCAGAGCGAGCCAGCCGCAGTTGAAGCGGATCTCCAACCTGTACCCCCAGCGCCCTGCACCACGCCTAAAGAAGAGAAAACCACCATCCGGAAACTGTAAGTATTCCCTTGTTTTTCTTTAGAAGAGCGTCGGTTTTTGTTTTTGTAGATGGTCATATAAATGACCCTGTTTCAGTCTTGTCTATTTCCCCCGCAAGGTGGCAAGCTTTGGAAGAACGGGTTCTGAAAAGAGCCTCGATAAAAGGTGGACATCCTCCTGCATTGTAACGGCAGGACTGCGAGATAGGGGTTTCTCTTGAAGTAAAACTCCTGCCACCGTTTTATTCAGCGAAATGCATTTTTGGCGCACTCACTGCCTCAGATAATTGAGTAGTGATGCATGACTTCCTTGTGAGTGGGGTTTGGTGGTGGATGTGTTTTCTGCGTGTGCCTGTGCAGCTTGTGGCTTCCAGGTACCTGGTGCTTCTGTCTCCGGGCTCGTCGTGTTGCCTTTGAGTTCTGGCCGCGCTTCTGTTTTCAACTAACGAGTGTTTGCGCCCTTTTGGAGTTTGACCTCGATGGGAAGTGCACCAGTGACCCCCAATGCTGAGCAAGAGGTCCTTTCCGAGTCGCCCAGCTCTTCCCTCAGCCCGTACGAGTCCGGGCTGAGGGGTCGGCTCTTGCTTTACCCTTTGTGCGCCCAGCCAGCCCGCCCCTGCTTGCTGTCTCCCCGGTTCGTGGGTGTGGTCACGTTATGGGGTTGATGCTCTGGTTGGCTGCTTTCCTTCTGCACGCAACCGATTCTGGGGACGGACTCTCGCCCCTGACTGGATCGGCGTCGCCCGTCCCGCCCACTGGAGCTCTGCCTCACTGGTGTGGTTGAGTTTTCGAGGAGCTGACCGTGTCTTTTCCTTTCCCTCCCCGCCCTGCTGGTGGGACCTGCGGGCCCTGGCTATGGGCAAGCTAACACTCCCGGCTGTCGCCGTACCTGGTCTTTCGAACCTTAATCCCTTGCGCTGGCTCCGTTTTCAGTGCTTAGGCTTCACTGAAGGAGGAGGACAGGCTCTCTCTGGGCTTCTCGGGCGGCAGAGCATTTCCTGTAGCTGCTCCAACCTGGGTTCTTTCTGCCCACTATCTGCCGATTTCGTGCTTCCAGAAGACTGTCTGCAGATTGCCAGGAGACCAGTGTCCATGCTTAAAGAGGCGGTATTCCTCTGTCCTTTAGGATACTCTAGTAGCTGGGATCAGCAGCTCCTCCCACTGGGCAATACAGTGTCACTTTAGCCCAGTGCTCCAACAGCAGACAACTATGTGCTCTGGCTCCAGGTCATAGGCTTTCCAGGCAGCACCCCAACAAAATGGATTGTCCCTGAGGGACACGCCCTGTCGAAATTTCCTATTGAACTTTTAGAGTCCGCTTACCTTGCGTTCCTGTTCCCATGGGCTGCAGTTCTTCTGGCTGTAGCTTTGGCTGGCCGCCTGCTTCTGTTTCTTTTGCTCTCGGTCTGCCATCAGCTGTCTTCCGGCCCAGCCTGGCGCTCGACTTTGTAGTTTCGCTGGCTTCCCCTCTGAATCGCCAGCTTCAGCTGAGGTCTCGCTCCCTTCTCCCTCTGGGCGTGAGGCGCACTGCTGCCTGCACCTGTGAGTGTGGCTTTTTCTCTGAACGTCTGCTTCTGCCGCCCAGTGTTTTTGTAGACTGTGGACCAGTTCATTCAGTTCTCTGAGGGGACAGACAGCATAAGTACTGCCTTGCCCAGTGGATTGTGGGTGCAGTTCATCTGGTCCACCAGGGCTGTGTCTCTGGAAGACCTTTGATAAGTGGCAATGTGGGATCGTTGTTTGCCTGCAGCTGCGATTTGAAAATCAGTGGTGCAGCACAGCCCTCAGATAACCAGGGTTCTGCGGTCTGTGACCCTGTTGGATTTGTGACTTGATCACAACCCTGGCAATCTGAGATGAAAGCAAGTTGCTTTCCTGCCTGGGTAGCCCGTGGGTGGTTGTTGTTCATCAAGTCATGGCAGGCTGCCCTGTCAGCTGACCACAGCGAGTACGAGGGTGGAGCTCGGTGGCTGTGTGAGAGCTACTGAGCTGTCCTGGCACATGTACTCACGAAGAGGGGGGGCAGTGATTAGGAGCTTCCCAAGAGGTCATCACTGTGTTTCACAGAACGAGGTTAATGAGAAAAAACCCAGCGTAGATGAGCTGGGACACAGTCATGCTTAAAACACAGACCAGCTGTGTGGGTTTGAACTATTGTGCACAGTGCAGCTTTGCTCTGCTTTTTTTTTTTTTGCCATTTGGTGCTGAGGATATACAAACATACTCCCAAGTGTGCGGCTGTTTCTTTTTTTTTTGGTATGTCCCCAAAATAGTGATGCAACATAATTATTGCATATCGTTTGATTCTTTCAACGAAAAAAAAAAATCTAATATCTTAGAATATTACGGAAGCGCATCGCTGCCACCAAGGGAAATAAAATCGCCCCCTTATCTCGTAATTACGAGATAGCAATGATTACTTCAGTGTTTGTACTGTAACACCTGTTACGTTGTGCACTGAACGTAACAGCATCTAGAAGCTGCCGTGAGCTTGGCTGGCACTTTCGGTTTCATGATCGTGACAGTGTCCAGCGCTGCAGAATTTGTACGGATTTACTTTCGACTGAGGTTTAGTCATAATCAAATCTAGCCATTTTTAGCAAATATGGACAGAATCATTATAAGCACGAGGAGCAGTTTTGTGGGATTTAGACATCAAAGTAGTGATGCTTTCGTTATGAGCAGTTATGCGCGCAATCAGGTCCTTTGCTTAAAACGGTAAATCCGCACGTAGCGACATATGTATTATACAACAATTAATTGTGCTATCCCGTGATCACATAAAGTATGCCAGAATTACTATCTTTTAATTACGAGATAAGGGCGATGATTTTTTCCCCCTTTGCTGGCAGCAATGCGTCTCCGTAGAAAATAATTAACTCTAAGCACAAAAACGGAAAAAAGGTATTGTACTCTTTCTTGAATGTTATCTGTTGATTTCTTTTCCTCCCCAGGTTTTCGTTTACTAGGAAGTGATGAAAAGAAGACGACAGAATTCAAATAACTTACTAATGTTCACCAGCTTTTTATACGTGTAGGTTTTTTCTACTAAAAGGATTCGAACAGTATTTTAAACTTTCAGAATATATGGAAACAGTTATTCCACTGTGCATTAGAACGGATCACAATCACCGTCTTATACACCGGAAAAAAATACTGTACACTATGAGTACTTTGAAACAATTCTGTTACCTGCCATCTCTGCTGTAGCTCAAGTTAAACACTAAAACCACCTTGTCCAAGGCAGAATAATGAGACAGTGTTGCAGTCTTTTTAGCATGTCTGTTAATACAGTATATCCCTTGTCATTCTGGGAGAAGATGTTCAAGTTGGAATTTGTAATATGATACATAAATGCCAGTCCAAAAGTGGAAGTAGGGATGAAGAAGAAACAAGCAGAATTCCAGATTTAGCTGAAAAGTAAAAAGAAGGAAAAACACTTCAGCTGCAGTTGTGTTCAGATGTGAAATTTTTAGGATCTCCAACTGTGTGAAATGACTGGCTGAAAATCAAAAGGCAAAGGCAAAGGTACAGATCTGTCCTATTTACACTGTATTGACTGTTTTCATTGGGTGCTACAAAAAATGATTTCAAGGCAAATCGGTGAGGAAAATATGCACCAGAGATATTACTAACTCTTGGCTATCTGTGTGTTGAGTGTAAAATGTTTGGAACTGTGCTGATAAAGTTGTTGAGAACAGCTTTTCACATTTATTTATCCCCTGGTGAAAAATGTTAAAAGACCTATTGGACATTCTGCACTGTTAAATGAAACATCTTAACCAAAGAATTAAGGCAAGCAGGATTGTGGGGATCATTGTCTATAATAATAATAATAGGGAAAGAAACTCCAATGGTAGAAATGTGCCTTGTTACCCTTCACTTGACAGGGTTGTATTTTGTCAACATGGGTCAGGGGCTGTGAATAAACCATCATCAAAAATGTTACTACGGGCAAGTTGTTTGTGAACTAGTATTTATTTAAGTTTCTAAAACATGACACGTGAACAAAACCCTGTAACAACATTCCAGTTAGATCTGTTTTCAGTTTGTTTTGTTCTGTATCCACTTTTTAAAAACAATTTTCATGGAAGATTGTTTGCTTTTGTCTTTTGAACGGTGTCTAACCCTAAATATAGTCTGGAGTTACACAGGTTAGATGTGCATCAAGATAATATACATGTTACTGCTATTTTCTTCCTGAAGGTGTATAGAACTACAACTACATATGTTAAAGTAAAAAATAACTAAGGAAAAGTAGATCAACTTAGAGTTTGGTGTCTTTAAAGTATCAAGTTGTAAATCCATTATGAAGAGATTCTGGTTATTTACAGGTGAAACTAGGTAAATGGCTGATGAACAATGAAGCACATATTTCCTCTCTGCTTCAGGGAATAATGTAAATTAACTGCACTCTTAAGCCAGCGTACAGATTTTATTTAAATACTTTTAACACAAAGCATTTGGTTGTGGACATTTAATAGCTTTCAGTGTTAGAGGTACACAATTTGCTCAAGTTCATAAAATATCTACACTCAGCTTGGCCAAAAAAAAAAAACTTAAAAATAAACAGAGTTTAACGACAGGAAATTGATTCCAGTTGTCAGATCACGTATACGCATACCTTAGCTTTGTGCAACAACCTGAAACTTTCAGGTACCATAAATAATATTATTGCTAAACATATGCCATTCTAATCTGCAAGCGACCAGAATATAGAATACGAATTTTTGTATAAAAATGCATTAAGTCCTGTTCTACACCTGCATGCTTTGGAAGCACTGGCCAAAATATACAAAATGCTTTTAAATCTAGCATTACCACACACATTATATATATAAAAAGTATTGATCTAGGACACTTAAAAGATTGCCTTTTCATATTTTAAGCATCCCACCTGGCAGAACCCATACACACACATTCTCAGCTGCTAAGGCAAAACATTTTTTTAAGGTTTAAAATGTTCTCTATTTTTCCTTTAAAGTAAAACCGTTCGCGTATTCCCTTCATCGAGTACAGGAGCTGCAGACAGAAAAAAAAAGCTACATCAATGCTTCAGCCAAGGGTGAGCTGCAATCGAAGCTTTGCTCCGATCGCCGTAGTCGTACAGCAGCTCCTCCCCTTCGTCGATGTCCCTGGAGGCCACGAGGATGAGGTGAGGTATTCCGTTGATATCGTGGAGTTTGGTCTGACAGTTTCCGTTTTTACTGTGGTTTATCAGTCTTCCAAATCGACTGGTCTCTTTCGTGGCGTCCACACTGCAGGAGGAAAGGGGAGAGAGGGGAAAAAAAACGGTTGAGTGTGGAAATTTGTGAAGCTCTGCGGGGGGGGCTGGGGTTTTACTTGCTGTCGCAAAAATGTGTCCTTTCTTTAAAAAAAAAAAAAGGTCGGGAAACCGAGGGATTTAACTTCTTAACATCGGTGCCAGCGCACCACCCACAGCGCTTCGTTAAATAAGCGCTTTGAAGCCTACCGTGTTTCCTTAAACATTCCTGTTTAGAAGAATGTGTGTACTTAACCCAGTCAAAACTCTCGTCTGACCGGAGACTAGTCCAGCCTCTAAGTTGAGGACAGACAACCCAGACAGATGCAGCAGTTAAAGAGGAGTCCTACCAGTAGGTTTTACTGAGATACTGGAAGTAGTACATGTAGCAGCCAGTTGAAGGGTCTTGTGCGTATTCAGCCTCTCTTTTCTTCGCGTCCGTCATCTGCAGAAGATCTCCGTGGTACTCCACCACAAACTGCCCTTTCCGGAAACACGTGGTAGCAAACACTCCCCTGCCTTTTCCTTCAATGTGCTGAACCTATTTCGAGGATTTTAAAAAAAAAATGTGCTTCTTAAATGAGTGATTATAGTTTATTTTAATGGGTATATTATTAATAGGAGAATAATCACAGAGCATAAATAAAACTGCTTTCCCCATCGCTGCTCTTGGACTTGCGGCAGCACCTCTATAGTGGTAGTTTTTCATACCAGGATGTTTCTAAGTCACTTACAGCCATCAACATGCTGAATGTACACTGCGTTTAACATTAATAATATAAGACTATGAAAGACAAGAATAAGCCATTGTACATGACGAAGTATTACTACTAAACACTAATTAATAGTTCTGAAATGCATATAAATGTCAAGGGATTGTAGCATGATGACCAGGCATACCCTATGAAGACTGTAGATATGCTTCTAAAAATGCACGGCATGTATACGTAACGTAACAGCTGAGCCTTGAGACGTTACCTTCATTCCTTCTTCTATTCCACTCTTTATTAATTCATCAATCTGCTTCTTTTCCTCACACTGTTGATACAAACCAAGCATTAGCCCTGGAACTGTGAAAAACATCACACGTGTTTCCAGCAACAGATAACAGGGATGGAATCTCTCGAGTGTGACATGCTGCAGAGAAAGGCTACTGCGGGGAGGTGTCTTTTAACATAACCATGTCTTAAGGCCATCTAGAATTTGGATCATCATTAAAATCATGAAGGGTAGTCACATGAATTCAATTTCTCAACCCGGTTTCTGCAAGAGTTTCCAGTGTCTCTTCATGTGCAAGATTTGCTGCATTACACAAATCAATTATAAACTTATCTGCTTAATCTGAATACATTTTAACAGGCTTATACATTGTCTTAAATTAACAATGCAATAAATAAAACACAACTAATAGCTATAACAAGATATTGTAAGTGACGGACAGCAATAATCTTACCAGAAATGGAAATGGCATAACCGAAGCTATAAAAGTAACTTTAAAATAATACAAGTGTTTCCTCTGTGGCTCAGTTTCAGTTCACATACATTACATTATATACATTTTCCACGGCTAATATTTATATAGAGTTCTGCCATAGCCTGCCAAATAACTAACTTACAGACATTTAGAATTTGTTTTCTATGCTTTCATATCAAGCATTGGAACAGCACAATCTTCCACTGACCTTTAACTCAGTTTTGCTTTTCCTGGAACTTCTTCGTATGGGGAAATAATCTGTGACTTTTCTGTTTTGGGAATTTTTGCTGTCCGCTCTGAAAAGACACACATTTTCACAAATTAGATTTATTCTTATTAAGATAAATAATGTTTCCATATACAGCAGTCTAACACTTGCAGCAACCCATTTAAACCATTCATTTTCGATACCTTCACTTGATAATTATATTTTCATAATTTAAAGTAATCTTTTAAGAAATAGAAAATGAAACCAGCAAAAGTACGACTTGTGTAACATCTAGATTTTAAAAAGCACGGTATTTTATCTTTCTACTTCAGGACATTGGGCGACAGTTTAATCCGCTGACTTGGTAAATGAGTTTAGCAGCCTAATGCTGATCCTGCCAAATTTTCAAGCGTGATTTCATGCCAGCTCAGGGCAGAGCAGAAAGCCAGACACAGATCTGTCTCTCAAATACAAATCAGCTCTATGGTTGTCAAATGCCTTTTTCTCCAAAGGTTTAGCTACATCCTAGCTTGTTTCTCCCTTGAGGTTCCAAGACTGCACGGTTCCATGATGGAACCCCAACTTACGTTCGGTGTGATTTTACTTTAACCTTGCGCCGTGTTTCCGTTTTTGGAGAGGATCTGTCGGCACCATTGTTTTCTGGAGTCATGTCTGCAGAGGAGTGTAGACGAGCAGCTTCAAGCTCGAGGTATTTCGGGAGGCTTTCAGTCCCCGAAGATTCAAGCCTCTTTGCCTCCGACTCTTCAGATTTAGTGATGCTTACTTCAGGATTTATACCATTCTGCTTCTCTGCACAGAAGAACCAACACATCAGCCTTTAGGGCGTGAGTCTGAAAAGAACCTAGAAATCTGGTTGATTAATACAAGGAAACATTTGCCTACCACGTCTCAAGGATTTTATTGATGAGTTTAATTCTAAACAAACACTACATTCTAATCTAATCATTCTAATTCTAATCAGTTTCCAAGCTGTATTCTTTAAGATAATTAGACCTAAACTTGAACACCTGGGATTAAATTTCTTCATTTTTTTGTAAATAAACGATCTCCATTAACCTTTGGTAGTAAAGATATTTTAAATCTTACAGGTAACGTTTTTTTTCTTCTGGAAGAACGTCTAATAATACTTTTTTAAAGGATCAAGACTTTGCTTATATGGTTCTTTATTAAAATAACACTTGTAATTGAAGGTCTGTTTTCGTCATGTGAAAATTTTAGACTGAAAAAGTTTGTGTATAATTGTTTCACAATTTAAAATGAAATAAGTGGAATCATAAGATGGCTGCTGCTGAACACAGATGTCATTTATAAATGGAAACAATTTAACAGAGCTTTAACTCAGATCTCCTGACTTGTTTCGCATACGTCTAAAACCGATTCCTTACAGTAAATGCTAAATAAAACGTAACTTCTGTTTACAGTAAATATTCAGAGGAATGTTAAGAGGGGGCACTGGGGGGGTTCAAAAGGTCTAAAGATGAACAATGCAGAGATAAAAGTTTTTGCCTCTCCTCCAGGCTCCACTGAGCATCACTAAATAGTAAACGGACCACTGAAATGGAGCTCTGCATTCCACATGAAGATGCTAGCTTATCAATTAGTTCCCTGCGTACAAAGTCAGAGTTTTTATACTTTATGCCTTTATGAACAAATCTGAGAAAGACGAAGTTTTGAACCATACCCTCCTCCTTCTTAGTGGATCCCTGCTGTACAGTACGTTTGCCGGGGCTTTTTCCGTCGTGTATATGTGCGATCGAGTTTTCATCATGAAGTGGAGAACGTGGCTTGCTGGGGCTCAAGAAAGGACGTATTGAGGACTGACCGTTATAAAATATATCCTGTTTCAACACAAGGGAGAGAATGCAGAAAGCAACGTTTGAACATTATTCTCGCCGTTCTTTCACATGACCTTCCTAAGCACAATACATTAGCAGTGTGCTCCCTAGACGTGCTCAGCATCAAGCTACAACAATTAAGAAATGTTATGCTTTGGATTGAAATGTAATATTCATCCATTTTTTGTCCAGTACAGGGTCACAGGAGAGCCGGGCAAACACCGGGCATAAGGCAGGATACGCCCTGGGTGGGACACCAGTCCATCACAGGGCAGACAGACATACACACAGATATGCACACACTCACACCAGGGCCAATTTTCCCAGGAGCCAATTAACCTACCAGTATGTCTTTAGACTGTGAGAGGGAAACCGGAGAGGACACCCATGCAAACTCCGAGAGAACATGCAAACTCCACACAGATAGCACCCCAGGCGTGGAATTGAACCCAGGACCCCAGCGCTGTCTCGCAATGCTAACCACTGTGCCCCCGTGCCACCCCTGGAAGGTGCTCCATTAGAATTAAATTGAAAGAAATTAATTACAGTTGTGTAGGTAACATGCATGTTTCTCGAAAGATGATGCACATCACACAAAGGCGACCAAATTCACCTAAAAACCTATTCCCCCAGACCAGATCATTATATTTTTAAATGCGAGTATACAAAAGCAGAAGCGCATCTTCCTTCTGTGTAACCGACGTAATGCAGATGTTCAAAACAGCACCGATTACACTGTTCATAAACCCCATTTTCGGGTCGAATTAACATGCAGCCCAGATTATTTCTGCAGCCTTCCAACATACTTCAAATAACAGCTCTAGAATGTCTAGGGACATTTATCTTTCTCCCTTTCGGAATTCTTTACACATTCAACAAAGTAACACTGCAATATGGCACACGAATGTCCAGAAATAATCGAGGATGCAGCTGCCCATACAGAATACATTCCTCAGTGAAGCAAGGTACAGTATTCTGTTGTATTAATGTACTAAAGAATTAAAAATTAGCAAAGAACCAAATGGAAGCTTAAACGTCCGCCTCATCACTCCTTCTAATATGCATTTATTATTGGGGTTTTAGCATCATAAGTACGTGAAAACATAAGGCTCTCTTACTGTTCTTAAATTTACAACCTGGCCGTGCTAGTGTATACAGTAGTTTATAACATGTATAGTGTGCATAGTTTTCAAATAAACTATACATACAGGCAATGTATACGGGCCGGATATTCTAGAAATAACTTCAACTTTTAAAACGACAAACAATATACTACTTTAACATATGTTTGTGCAAATTAATTTGGAATATAAACAACGCAAATGATATACATAAACATGAAAACTTAGCACCGGTAGAAAAAAAAGCAGCTCCAACTTTTCTAAAGAGGTCTCTTGTACAATTTATATAGGGATACATTTTCTCGTAGTTATTTCTGCATTTTTTCCGTTAAAATATCAATATTTAAAAAAAAGAAGTCGAGACCTACCCCGTTCATTTCGGGTTTGTTTTCTTTTTTTCCTTTTAGCTGCTCCGTGGTGTGGGCAATGTCCTCAGTTTTGCTTTTACCGTGGTTCGGGGTTTTCTTTTTCCCTTGGAAAATGAAAATTAAGGCATTTTACAGGGTCGATATTTCTTGAAAAGCAAAATAAAACCATAACTGCTAGGGCGTCCCTTTTTTTTCCTTTTATTTTTTTTTAATCAACCCAAGCAGTTTTCACAGTTCCTCCCCTCCGCCATGTTTTTAACTCAGACACGGGGAAAGTAACCACGTGAACATTTAAAGGGACTGCAAACTCTGTGCTTGCACCGCCGCCTCTGTCCAGCAGAGAGAGTTGGGTTCACAGACTCAGTGCACCCACAACGTGACTGGGGGAAAAATATATACGTATGCTTTAATTTTTATTGAATTGATTCGTTTTTAAATGAAGTTTAGTCGATCTCCCCTATTTATCTCCTAGTTTATACATGCGTTTCGATTATATCTTTTCAACACATAGATTTGTGCATTTCTTTCCTAAACATTAACCTTTTTTTTTGCTGCAATGAAGGGCGGTTTATCCTAAAGAGTGCAGAAGAAACATTCACGCTGCACATGGAACTTTATGCTGCAACTCTTCAGCTTGCTTATTAATAAGCTGCTCCAATTTTTCTGACTCAACAGTTCTTGATAGGTGATGAACTGATGATGAACGGACAAGACTGACATTGGACAACCTTCACAGCGAGTCAGTGTCTCTCCAGTCCCATTGGTTATACTTCAGCTAGCAGACTTGAGTGAGGGCAAACTTAAAACTCACCAGAGAGGGCAGGGTTCACACTAATGGCAAATCCCAGTCAGCTTCTTTAAGGAACTTAAAGTGGGCCTTAAATAGAAAACTGAAATAAACTACCCGTGATTAAAACCCAGCAGACACAGTGGTATTCCACGACCAGAATTTAGAAACCCTCGCGTACTGTGCGTGAGAATTAGATATAAGACCTTACAGATCTCTCTAGGGACTCCCTCAAATTTTCCCAAAGGAATGTCCCGTCTAAAGAAGGGATACTTGCTTTGGAGAATTCCCGACCACCGACCTGGTTTCATCAGCTTCTGGCCTGCCTGAGTTCTCCCTGGCATAGCTGGTTAATTTTATCAGTTAACTCCATCATTATACTACTTCTGCCAAGGCTCTCTGGGTGTTTTTACAGATAAATTACACCTCTAAGGTTTTGAATTAAGGTTGTGTCTAAGCAAATGAGTCAATTGTTTAAATTGCCTCGTCAGGGTGGAAATGAAAAGCAGAAGGCACTAGGCCCTCCAGAAACTGGAGTCTGAGACGCTTTTACTTTAAACCCTTCCAATTCTGCAATGCCTACAAAATGCAGAAAATCTAGACATCTTTAGCTACCACTCCTGCAGTTGTGAATGAGCTTCACCGCTGCACAACACATTCTGCCTGAAGGGACACGATCGATTTCTTTCCAGTACCATCTCCATCGGTATTTTCCAAGTATATAGCACACATGGATATTATATATTCATTAAAAAAACGAACTCGGCACGTGAATTTCATGCACACAAATTGACCGAAAAACGTTACTCACCTCTCGCCATAATAGCCGAGCCCCAGACGCGAACGTGATATTACAAGCAATGCAAACCAATTTCTCTTAAAGTATTTTAACAGTAACCATAAAAAAAATGGGCTGTTAAACTACACTTTTATAAGATGTTGCTCTTTACGAGATAATCCCTACTCTCCTACCCCTATTGGCCATTTAAACAGCCATTCACTTCATATTTCCGTACAAATTATCACCCATTGTTGCTCATGGCCGTCTCAGGCTTCCGTACCACGCTGTGATTGGCTGATTAAATGAATCGTACCCAAACAGTCCGTGAGGTTTGAATTCCATGCTTACGTCCGATTGGCTGAGAAGTTTGAAGGCCTGAAATGTGATTGGTGGAAAACTCTACGATGGCCCCTATAGTGCATTTTCCCATGTGGCTATTGCTACGAGATTCTATACACATTTTGTGATGTCTTACATTTCCAGCACTGGCCCTGTATTGCTGAGCATCCTCTTTAATGACGTTAAGTCAAAACCTTCCGGTCACATTTCAGTCAGATCAAGACTTTAAGTTTCCCTTAAAATAATGTGACACTTAAATTGCTATAAATGTGCATTTACGCATATTGCGTATTAACAAAATAAAATATGCAGATTTAAAAGAAGTGAATGAGGAACGGTGATCTGTTTTACTTGAATGAAAAGTGAGCTGGTCAATATTGGAAGAAATAAACAGCGAGTTTTTATTGTCTGCTGTAAGAAATATGTTAATACATATCAAAAAGGTGCTACAGATCACATCAGAAACAGATCTTAAGCATCGATTCTCGCGGGAAAACTAACTGCCTTATTTCCGATTAGATAGTAGATTTATCTTGTTAAATGGATATTGTGGATTTGTATTCATCCTGGAAATAAAAATCCAGGATGAATAGTGATCACCTATTCCTATTAAGGGAAACGTAAAACACCAAGATGCAGTAGAACATCTTAATCTTAATGTATCTAGAAAAAAAGCCTGATTAGTCTCAGGGGAAATACCTAGCATATACAGTATAAGGTTTGTTAGAAACCTTATATAAGAACACAATATTCGGGTGCATAGACTTACATTCAGGCAACAATGTAGTGTATAAAATTGTGATTAAACAACGCAAGGAGCAGTTTCAAATACAAATACACACGAAACAAAAGAAAGTATATGACTTTATTGACCGCTTGTTCATTTAATAATTCATGAAATCTGCAATTCAGTTCATAAGAAATAAATATATAAAATATGGATGAATCCAGAGAAAGTCGTTTCAGTCGTAGAAATTAATTATTTCAAAGAGAAGTAATTAATTGTATGTGTGTGCTAAACTATTCCACAAGGGGTAGCAGCCGAATCCATTGAAATCAGTTGCTAGTTGTATACTCTGAATAAAGCTTTGTTTTCTGTTGCTTTAAATATACAGTACAGGACTTGGTTGGCATAGCAATTTTCTGGAGAGCAAGATGATGAATTATAAAGACGGTTGCAGAACGGGATTAGTTGCTAAGGGAATTTAGGGAGACGTCTTAGACGTTTTCTAAATGAATTTGGGTTTTCCTCAATGTATCGATGACAGACGCGTGAGAAAGGCTACAGCACCCTGTTAGAACACATTCTTTTCATGTTTACTGCTATTGTTTGTAACTGTGCCTATGTCTCTATGACAATAAGACCCTGCTGCAGTTAATGCTGTCATTATTGTACAAGGCAACCAGAGAACAGGGTATGCAGCCGTGCTGACTCATCAGCTAGGGCTGTGGATTTCATTTCATTGAGGCAGAGGAGGCCGATAAGTGAGTATCTTTAAAACAACATAGACGAGGCAGCGAAGGACGCCTTCCTGCAGGAACGCAGCAGCAAAAGCCCGACTCTCGATAGAGGATCCAGTCATCTTCCACGTTTAGTTTTTTTTTAAATTTTATTTCGCTGCATTCCTTACCTGTCGGTCTTTTCCTCATAGTCGGGTATGGGACTATGCTTGCGCTTTTCTTATGATGCTAGCGTGCTAGCGTGGTTACTCCGGCGAGTGATTGTAGTTCGTTTCCATGGCAAATGAATCTAATAATTGATCATTTCAGTGAAAGAACCAGTCAGGCGCACTGGGATGATTGAGTAAAGGAAGCGATATATATTATGTGTGGAACAGTGTGGAAGGAGTGACACAGTCGTGTTAATTTGTTATAATTAATACGTGAAAGGGGCACTCTCCTCATCTTTGACTTTGCTTGTACTGGGGTGTTGGAACAGATCTTGATTATACTGGGGAAAAAAACTATACAGAAGACGTGATCATATGTAACCAAGGCAACAGTGAATCTAATAAAATCGCTGTCCTTTCATGCACCAGGTTTGGGGTCGATATCTTGTACAATTAATTGTGACACAAAGCCAGAAAGCACAAGCCTGTTTCGATGCGAGTAATACAAAGAGATCCTGACTGTGCATTTAATAGAAATCATAAATGTGACACAGGAATGACTTATTTCCAATGGAAAGGTTGTTTCCAAGAAGACAACCTATCTATTTATAAAAAAAAAATACCAAAACCAAACTGTGGCGTTTTATTTTAAGTAGCTGATGCAATGGGCAGGGCCATGTTTTTGATTAAGAACTAGATTAAATCAAGCAAACGTGATCATTACGTTAATTTTTAACTCTAAATACCCCTAACACAATTCAAAGGAACTAAATACTCTTTCATACTTGGACAGAATTAATGGGGACTTCGTGGGCATTCCTGAAACCACAACACAGATCCAGGAACAAGCGGGTTATGCCCAAAATTCTTGTCTTTTTGTCTTTTTTTTACGTTGACCCTTGCCACTCGCTTTCTTGTGCTTGTTTCCTTGTTTACCTGTACTGCTGTAGATCGGATTAATACCGTAAAATACGGTTCAGTAAAACAACGGCAAGACTTGAGCTGTCGAGGGTGAGCCACTTCTTGTGCTGTATAAACCTACAAAACCCCAAACATCAACTCACGTCGGCATTGGATTGATCAGGTAGATTCGATCAGCATTTACCCAAAGCAGAAAAGACGAATCGAAATTAAAATCCGGTTCTCGGCGAGTGCCACAGGCAATAAATGTAAATATTAAGATGATTTTTTTTACAATCGTTACTCGAAGAATAAAACATGTAATAAATTCAAATAAACTACTCCAAACACCAATTTCAATGTTCACGACATTTCAATTATTCTAGTCTAAGGCTCCCTATCCCTCACATCATCTTATATTACAGATATTGTACAAAGAATATTTTAATCCCCCCGCATCAGCAGAGTTATAATTGTAAAGTCTCACCAAAAACCTAACCAAGACCTTCTCAATATGTCCCAAATCGATACTTCCGGTATCCCCCCTAAGGAAGTGCGTCATTCATCGTCACTTCCCGACCAAGGCCACGCCAGTGGTCACGTGATCGGGGCTTTTACTTCTCTCTTGCTTCCCCGATCCGATTAAAAATATAAGGAAAAATGGACCCGAACATTAATTTCGCCGCGCCAAGCCAGCGGGACCGCGTCCAGTTCCCGTGCCGTGGGACCGGCGGCTCCTATCGCGTTTTTCGAGCGGCAGGGACGCGATTCTGGAAGATTCTGCTCTCGGGGGCGGGCGTCACGTGACATCGCACGCGGCTCCGGCCGCTCGGTAAAGATGGCGGCAGTCGGATAGAAAGCGGCGGAGGAGCTATGTAGTAGTCACCTCGAGTCTGCTGCGGTTATTTGGAAGCCAGAACTTCGACAAGTAAGTGTGCGTGTGGAGGCTGCGGGATCGTAAAATGGCCGCCGAAAATTCGTGGACTTCACTGGTGTAAAAAAAATAAATAAAAAAGAATGGGACCGGTGCTGGCGAAACTGTAAAAAAAAAAAAATAGATTTGTTTTGTGTTCGCCTTGTCCGCTGTTACGGTGACTGAGCATATCACGAAGAGGTCCGAGGCTTTAAGGACTGGCTTCACAACAGCATTGTCACAGACCAGCCCCGGGCTCCAAGGCGGCAACTCGCGTTTTCTGGACTCTTGGTTCTTTCTGAGCACGTCAAAACACTCTTTCCTCTCGCTAAGGAAGGTGTTTTACAGATGACTCTGCTGGATTTGTAGATTGATTAAATCTTTATAAACAATCTACATTTATCCTCTAAATGGTAAGTATATGTTTTCGTTCATCGAGTGCTTATCTAACCTTACATGGTGTTCTGTAACTATACATTATAAAGCCCCTTGCAGTGTTAAATGATATTTTTTATTTGAAGTTATATTAATTATGGATGATGCACGTTAATCGCGTTTCTAGCCCCAAATAGTGTACAGTAGCCTTATGTTCCCCCACATGTTATCGTATTTAATTATTTTATCTGTCGAATTTTATAACTTAAATTGTAATTCGATGGTTGAAACATTTAACCATAAAGAACATTACGTAGCTAGCACTATCCAAACCCGGAAGTTTATGAATTGAACACGTGTTTGAGTAGAGGTTATGACTCTGAAAATTGACCTTTTCGAATAATACTAATTCTGCTATCACACTTGTTTGGAGGGAAATAATTTTCAAATATACTCTTTGAGACGTGTCGTCTGTATAAATTAAAACGTGTTTTCTTAGAGAGGTGACTGTCAAGACGCGTGGGCCATAGGCACATGAACGCACATCAATGTAAATTGACAAAGCTCATTAACAAAAGGAAAATAACTTAATGTGAACGACTAACATTATTTTCCTGTAAAACAATATTTGTTTGTTTCCTGTCGTTTCAATCTCCTTGACTCCTTGCTTGTAAATACTGCAATTTAAGATTCCCCCTTTATCATATGAGTGACCAAGGGTATTTCGTTTTAAAGTTAAGGTTTTGTAGCTTAAATGCCTTTTTTTGTGTAGTCAAGTGTATTTTGTATGAATACACTTATAGTCTAATCAGGTCTCATGCCAGGTATAAGTGCATTTCGTAATAACTCTGAACACATCCATTGGTGCTTTCTTACCACTCAGTGTCTCCTTTCAAAAAGGTAAAGAAAACTTCCAGTTTCCATTAAAAAGGATTAAGTTCATGAACAGATAATTGGACTGAATATTTGTCCACTTCTGCAATCGACTGTTTGCTGATCCTTAAAATGATGCGAGTGTAGTATTTTAGAGAGGTGAATATTGTCTCGTGCTGCCAGATGAGAGGCAGAAAGGGTTTTAACTTTAGGAATCTTCAGGGAAGTTTGGGCTCTTGTAAACTCTTACCGTAACTAAAGCTATGTAGGATAAGCACTTCAAACATTACTTTTGGTAATAAATTGTGCACTATTGTTACCAATCCCAATGCGTGTTTTAAAACAATTTCCACCAAGCACCAAGTTTATAGCTGACAATGGGGAGCCAGTTTCCAAAAATCCTAACAAAATGCAGAATATGTTTGCTACATTGTTGCTCATGTGGGTAGTTAAAATGTTCATTAATGTGTAATGAGCACATGGTCTGAGATGCATGCTACAGCAAACCACGCACTCGCATCTGCAAATCCTCCATAATGTTTATAGTTATAAATAATCCATAGCAGTGAATGAATGGTTAACTTTTTTTCTGTGTTAATCACTAATATGTAATTGGATGCAACAGAATGCAGTAGACCCTGGAAACGAAAATGAAACCTCACTTTCCTGTTATGGGTCAGCTTGTTTCTGTTTACTTTTCTCTGGAGTTTAGTGTGCACCACCAAAAGACAGCTAGCCTGATCTCTAATTTGTAACACGTTGGTGTACAGTGCTTCTTAGTAGTGTGAGATAAGGTATTGAATATTTTTCTCATGTAAAATGCTTATATGACAGTGTATTGAACTTGTCGTTTTTTTTAATTAACTATAGGGCTCCCTTTTCTATAAAATGTATTGTGATTTTGTTTAGTGTTAGCTCAGGCTCATGTTTTTTGCTCCATGGGTGCTTTACTGGAATAAGAACATGTCCTTTTTGGTTTTTGTCTCTGCTGTGGTAGATGATGGATCCAGGTCAAGATCTGCTGCTTGCTGCTCTGAGCGAGAGTGGGATCAGCCCCAATGACGTCTTCGATATTGACCCTATGGATGCTGGCATGCCATCAGCCATTCAGCAGGTAAGAATTGTTCTTAAAGCAAGTGGCATAAAGGCATAAGATAGAAGAAATATGGCTTGCAGAAGTTTAAACAATGCAAGACAAAAACCCATTCCTTGCTCCAAATTCGGCAATCTTAACTTGTTTGGTTGCTGCTTAATCTGAGATCTCAACTTTTTTTTTTAATAAGGCCAATTGTATAGACTTCAACAGTATAGCTGGGATGATTTTCCAGACTTTCCCCACCATGTTATTAGTACTTCTGCAGTATTCCTTATTGGATGGTTAAAGGTTCTGCCATAGTGAATCTGTCATTTCTGAAAAATATTGATGTAGTGCCTCTTAATACTTTTTTTATTGATATACTGGAGAGATTTATGTGCATTCCAGAATATTTCTAGCAAAAATAGACTAATTTATTGTTTACAAATCATGTTTAATTTTTATGTTAGTCCTGTGTCTGCATGTTTTAAAAATATGGTGTTTCTGATTTTTTATCATGTCACTTTAGTGGCGATTGTGTTGCAAAGGGACAGATGCAACATTTAGAGAGAATTTACATTTAAACTTCTTCTTAGAATTATACATCAGATTGGTGATGGCATCTTCAGTTGTAGTTGATCTATAATTAAATCTAGTACCAGTAAAACCATTTCTAGAAATCTAGATTAATAATATTTATACACATCATTTGTTGTGTTTGTGGTTTATTGGTTATGGTTTGATGTATCTGCCTTGTTTTCCATGCGTCTCTTCAGCCAGTGCCTCTGAGTGCCCTGGATCTTGGTTTGGGAACAGAACCACTGACGACCACTATAAAACAAGAGCCAGCAGTGGTGATAAAGCAGGAGCCAGCACTTCCACCCACTCCTACGGTCACTATCAGGGTATGTGCACTTTTCCCCTCTGTAGAATGTATACATCTATTGCTGGGTGTGAGAAGTGTATGCTGTTGAACTCAGTACAGCTTTATTTTGATTAAGAAAAGGCAGTGAAGTGGGACTGATGTTGCTAATTAAGATTGTAAATCAGGTTTTATTTCTAATTATTTTTCATTTTTAATTTGCTTTTCCAATATAGCATCCATGATGATCCTAATGTATGTTATGTCGGAGTGTAAGTTTGGCGGGGGGGGGGGATTTCTTACTCTCGATTAACATTTTTGCCATTTTACACTGTGTGAAGTCACTCTTGAAAAACCTTGTTAGGCAACCAAAAATATGAATAAGCAAAACATTCAACAAAAACTCTTTCCTTGGCTGAGTGTGTTCCCATTATTTGGGATTGCAATGGCAGTCATGCGTGTATCAGTTTAAGTTATAATATGTCTTATATTCTTATCTCTCTTTCCACGTTCTCTTCATTACAACTGCAGAAGCCTCAGCCATCCACCACAACATTTGTGCTCAATCAGCTCAATCAGCTCCCTTCCCTGGGAACAATTGTTGTGACCAAACCATCTGTTGGCACCACATCCAGACAAACCATTACAGTGGCCAAGGTTGTTCAGACCTCCTCCACGACGCGGGCGCCCACCACTACTGTCCGGACTACCCTGGTCCCACCCAGTAAGGACCAGATCCAGCTGAAAGACCTGCTCAAGACCAGCAGCCTCAATGAGCTGATGAAACTCAAGCCACCTCCAAATATTGCCCAGCCAGTGGCAACAGCTACAAGTAAGTCAGAATTGTTTTTCTTCTCGAGAGATTATAGCTACACAGGCAGCAGTGTTGGACTGCTCTGTTGGTGCTCGCGGGCTCCAAAGTTGCAACACTGATCTTTGTTTTTATGTTTCATTTTTGTTTTCACTTTTCATTTGAAAGAAAACTGCTGGTTAGTTCTCATTTTCAAAGCTAAATTTTGATTCAAGTTTCTTTTTTGGTCCCAACCTGCTCGGCACCCCTGCTTTGAGCAGAACCATCCTTTTTATTAATGCTAAATAAGACTTCTGTTTCTGGTTTCTGGCTCCATAGACTGTAGTTTCAGAATTGGCATTGAAAAGTGCATTGACCCAAATTCCAAAAATACATTTTAAACATCTACCAAAATATTGAACACATCTTTCCTTGGCTTGTAATCTTAAAGCCTATTTTAACAAACTTGTAGTCTGGGATTGTCTGCATTACTCATGGAAACTACAGCATTAATCAGTCTGTGGCGAATGGAAGGCTGGTATCATGAGGGCTGGTAAAAGAGGAGGTTTGTGACTCCATTTGAGGTCTGTTTTCACGTCCTTTGTTTTTACTGTGTATGACAATTTCACGTTTTATCTACATTTATCCTTGTTTTAGCCACAGTAGTTCAGGGTTCTATTTTTTGTTGTCACACAAATTAAAATGTGCATAGCCAGAAATCCTCAGGTTCTTTAATTTTGAATGGGTTCACTCTATCAAAGTGTGCTTTGTTCAGTAAACTTAAAAGTTTTCTTTGGCTGCAATGGAGAGAAACATAAGCTAATAAACACTTTGGTCAGTGTGAGGAGGATCCTGACGTTTTCATAGCAAAAACTGTGGTAGTTGCTACAGTGCTTGTTTTGTAATATACCAAATGAAGTAATAACTTACAACTGACATGTAGCATTTCTTAAACATTATTCAGTCAACATGCGAGAAGTAAAAACATTGATATGCTTTAATTTTTACAGAAATTATTGTGCTCTCTACAAAGACAATAAACAAACCAGGTATGAGAATATTACTGGTGATGGTGTACACTGATGCTCGGGGTCTACACCTTAATGTTTTATATAACACAGCACTTCAGTCTAAAAACATGGTGCCTGGGGTTTAGTTTTTAATGTGACAGTGTTTTTGAGGGCAAGTGCAAGTTATTTATTTTTTAATTGCAGCTGAAATAAATAATGGAGTAAAGAAGGAGGTCTCAAACAAAGACGTTGCAAGAATTTGGATCAATGATGACCTTAAAATGAGGAGTTTTTCACCTACCAACGTAAGTATGAGTGTCACACCATGTCTGTCTGTGCCTTGATCAAAGATCTGCCAGGATTTTGCATCTGTTGTAAGGGGAGGGGGGGCTTTTACATAACTCACAGTACAGAAGTAGGTTGAATATTTTATTTTGCTTTTGAATTATTTACAGCCAGAAAGGCAGAAGCTCTGACTTTACTGCCAAGATTTCTTACATTTTTTTTTAACTGGCTACTTGACAGTAATGTTTTATACTAAACATCTTTTAATCTTGCAGAAAATACCAGGCATTAAAGAGGAAGAGGAACCAGAGGAGGAGGAAGAGGAAGAGCTAGGTCATGCAGAGACATATGCGGAATACATGCCAATGAAATGTGAGATTTTTGTTTACTACTGTATATGGAAAGATTAAACTTGGTTAACGTGTAATGTGCAGTCGACATCTGTAATCTGTTGTACTTAAATCTTGAGGTTGGAAGACGGTATGAGAAAGGTGTGGTTTGCACAGAAGTCTGTATGTGATTAGAATGTGAGTTTATATTGAATATTTCTTTTGTATGCAGTGAAAATTGGCTTGCGCCACCCAGATCCAGTTGTGGAGACCAGTTCGCTGTCCAGCGTTTCTCCTCCTGATGTCTGGTACAGGCTGTCTATTCCCGAAGAGACCATTGATAGAGGATGGCTTTCAGCACTGCAGCTAGAGGCCATTACATATGCTGCTCAGGTACAAACTTGTGACTGCTTCTTCCCCAAACGCAAAGCATAAAGTAGTGCTTGACTAACTTATTTTTTCCTCTTCTGCCTGCGTGAATGTACTTTATTCTGTTTTTATTTTTTATGAATGATAGCATTTTAAGTTTCTAAAGTGTTTATTTTTTTTCTTTGAAGCAACATGAAACATTCCTTCCCAATGGAGATAGGGCTGCGTATTTAATAGGAGATGGAGCAGGTGTCGGCAAAGGCAGGACCATAGCGGGAATTATGTACGAGAATTACCTCCTTGGTAGGAAAAGGTCACTATGGTAAGCATGGGTTGGAGTTGCAAAGTCTTTAGTTTTTGTCTTTCTGGTCTGTGAGCCGTTTGACAGTAAAAATGTGATCCCGCTTTTCTAGGTTTAGCGTATCCAATGACTTGAAGTATGATGCCGAAAGAGACTTGAGAGACATTGGAGCAAAAAACATTCAAGTTCATTCACTGAATAAGGTAAAGTACACATGTGTGGTGGTTTAGGCTATTTAATGTTAAGATAACATTGAAAATCATAATTATTATTTTCTGGAAAGGAACAAGTAATAGGTTCGTTCCACGCTACAAAGAGTAGAAAGGAAATGCAACGTTTCGACTGGAGTCTTCTTCGGGTGTGAACCAAAGAAGAACCACACCCGAAGGAGCCTTCACATTCTGACGCTACTCACATTAATTATTCTTTTCTGGACACTTGTATAATTTGTTATGTTTTTTTTTCAGTTCAAATATGGAAAGATCTCTTCCAAGCACAATGGAAGTGTGAAAAAAGGTGTCATTTTTGCCACTTACTCCTCTCTGATCGGTGAAAGTCAGTCTGGGGGGAAATACAAGACCCGGTTTAAACAGCTTCTGCACTGGTGCGGTGAGGACTTCGATGGAGTAGTATCCTTTGATTCACATTAAAAGGTTCTGCATGGAGAGTTTAAGCAGAAATCTGGAATAGCCCAGAACTGTCACATCAATGCTTAATCAGGAGTTTTAAAGTTGATTTTCTTAAAACGTTTTTTATAGTTAATGGTCTTTTTTTACCCATTGGCATCTCTTAGTCAATTAAGTCATATGGCCAGACTTCTTCAAAGCAAGGAAAAGCACCTTTCTGCATGTGAATTTGAAGGACTAACGGAAGTCCTGCTGATAGTAATTGTAATTAAATTTTGAGAAGTCTTAAAAAGCAAGTTAATATGAATGCAGTGATGAATAGTTATGTTCATTGTGGCCTTTTGCTTCAAAGGCTTGAATTACATTGCTGTAATAGTTTAATGGTTAAAATGGTGGAAGCTCAGGTTATTTTTTTAAAGTACCATTTGTTCTTAAGAGATGTTTTTTCCTTTTGCATTACAACAATTCCTTCACTAAGTCTTTAGATTGTGTTTGACGAATGTCATAAAGCTAAAAATGTTTGTCCGATTGGGTCTTCTAAGCCTACTAAGACTGGCTTGGCTGTCTTGGAACTCCAGAATAAGCTACCAAAGGCAAGAGTTGTGTATGCCAGTGCTACAGGTAAGAGGACCTCAAGATTCTTTGTTCTTATATTGGCATTTTGACTCTTAAGGAAAAAAGCAGGACTTTTAACAAATTAATTACTTTAATCTGAAATTATTTCCTCACATGAGGTCAGTGAGATGGTGATTTTTTTTTTTGTGAGCGAGAAAATCTAAACAAATGATAGCAGAATAATATTTTATTATCCCCTCTTAAGCCCCACATAATGATGGAGATACGTGTGGTAGTGAGTTCTTGGAAATCACGTGTGAGTTTGGTAAAGAGCTTGAAGCAACGATTGAGTTCTACCCTCCTTTATGTGGTAACAATAACAACACTAAACGAATGTAGTTGATCAAGGACTGAATTCTACCTCGCTGTTCTAATAAATGTAAAAAAAAAAACCTACCCAGCATTTGTTAAATATTATTTTTGCAATAAAAGCAACATTTAGATAAAATAATAGCAGTAGGTATTTTTATTTCATTATAGCCATAGTATAATATAGGTAACTGTGCTTATGGAATGAAGTAGCCTGCGGGTATTGGCTTTGATATCCAGTATCTAATGCTAATAGAATGCATTTTTGCTTTGTAGGTGCTTCTGAGCCCAGGAATATGGCGTATATGAATCGTCTTGGAATCTGGGGTGAAGGAACCCCATTCAAGGAGTTTAGTAACTTCATCCAGGCTGTGGAAAGAAGGTAAAATGCAAACTTTTTAGCCTGTTGCAACCCCAGTATTTTATCAAAATATATTTTTTTACTTTCAGCATCCTGTAAAGTATAGTCTTTTCCACTAAAATATTTTGTTAATGCTAACTATTCATAGCTCTTGTAAAACTGTAGCTGACACTTTCTTTTGGAGTGAATATTTGTCATTTCTGACTATAGTGCTTAGTACTTTTAGAATGGTTTTGTTCCCTCATTTTAACCAGTAATAGTGTTTCAGAATGAGTGCTGTCATCCTAGTATTTCCTCAGAGGTGAAGTGATACAATCACTGGGGAAGTTGTTCCCCTAATTTTTACAGAGCTCTCAGTGCTGGGTGGGCAAGTTCTATTTAAGGAAGAAACTTCATAACGCTGCCTGAGCATTTTCTCTCTCTTTGGGATTCTTTTTTATTATGGGGCTAGTTGTTTTTCTGTTGTTGGGTTTTTTCTTTCCCTTTTTTTATCGGAATTATTTATAAAAATGTCTTTTAGAGGGGTCGGTGCTATGGAAATAGTTGCCATGGATATGAAACTAAGAGGGATGTACATAGCAAGACAGCTGAGCTTTGCTGGAGTGACCTTCAAGATCGAAGAAGTTCCTCTATCACAGGACTACATAAAGATGTATAACAAGGCAGTTCGCTTGGTGAGAAGTCATTCTTGTTAATACTTGAACTGAACGTACAAAGACTTTTCATGCTTAATTCTTGCATTGCGGCAGTGTTAAAATACAATAAAAACATTTGAGTGTCTTTATTTTTGAACATGAAATAAAAAGCTCTACTATGTTTAAGTAGAAAGGGGAGGCGTTCCACAATGAATACTTTTGCCATGCAGGAGTGCTGAAAGTACTTTCATCATTCTAGAAAGTGATGATTAAAATGATTTGTTGGAATCTGTACTTATTGGGTATCTTCTGCTCCGGTGTTGGCCAAGGAGGTTTTAGTTTTAAAATGTTGTGACCTCGGAATCTTTTAGTTACTCTAAATGCCCTCTGAGTGGCTGTTAGCAAGTGACTTTTGCTATATCAAGGGATGGGGAATAGAGTTTAGATTTAATTCTGTCAGTGGGACAAAATGAGTTAAGATCTGATAATGGATCTTGTTGTAAAACCCTTCCAGGTAACATCTTAAATGATTGTGTTTTTTAGGAGCATGTGCTTGGTATAAATTATGCAATATGGTTTAGGTTTTATTTTATTTTAATATGCATAATTCATAGCAACTAGTGAAAACTTTTAAAGATGCTCATTTTATTAGGGAAAGTCAGGTCACCCAGATGAGCACTAATAGGGACAAAACGGCAGCCTGTGGATGCCATCCGTGACAGAATTTGAAGTCTGTTTAGGAGGTTCTACTTTCTAGTGTCGTGAACTTGCCAGATTGAAATTGAGTGTTCACACTCATTCCTAGTTACGGATATATTTTCCAGACGAGATTCAGACATATTCAGAAGCTTTGACAAGGTGAAGGATAGTCATGTTGTCAGTGTTGCTGTTTGTGTCGCCGCAGTGGGTAAGTGCGAGAGAGAAGTTTCAGCAGGCGGCCAACCTCATGGACGCGGAGCTGCGGATGAAGAAATCCATGTGGGGGCAGTTCTGGTCAGCACACCAAAGATTCTTCAAATACCTGTGCATTGCGTCCAAAGTGAAAAGGGTGGTTCAGCTTGCTCGAGAAGAAGTCAAAAACGGAAAGGTAAAAATCTCTTCCTCTTATCCTTCTTGATCAGGTTTTTACATCTTAAGTTCTTGTTTTTTTTTTTGCTTGTTGCTTACTTCCTCGGTTTTGTTCCCTAGTGTGTAGTTATCGGTTTGCAGTCCACCGGGGAAGCCAGGACGCTGGAAGCATTAGAAGAAGGAGGAGGGGAGTTAAATGATTTTGTTTCCACAGCTAAGTAAGTGTGTATCTTAAATAATTCACATGTTCTGTTTCTTTTACCACTCCGAGAAAAGGTGGTTTAAATTGACTTGTCTTTAAAAGACCGAGATGGTAGCCTCCAAGTGATTACAGCACCTATTTTTCATAATGCTAGCGGTGTTTCCAAACTGTAATACTGCTAACTTTGTGGATTTATCAGCCTTTTATAATTTGTGGAAACAAAATGTACACTCTTAGCACCCTGTCAAATTGCAATAGTGATAAATCTGTTAAGAAAACCCCAATTGCAGACAATGCCTTTTTCATGTTCTCTGTGGGTTTTAATGATGCTTTAGGATCACGTGATCCCAATCATTGTGAATTGACTGTCTCGATACAGTAAAGAACCCTTTTAGGTAATTTTCTTTAGTTTCTTTGTAGATGCTAAAGATATGTGTGGCAGAAAGCATTTTGCTGGCTGATTTTAGATCTGAAATCTTACAGAAAAAGGCTTGAAATACAAGGCTCCACAGCTGAAAAGCTTTCATTTCTTTTCTGCATGGAATGAACCTTTACCTGTTCCTTCGCAGCCTACCCATGCGGCTCTAGCTCTGCTCAGAAGTAGTTTGTATATGGTTCAGTCACTCAATTGGTTGTCTTTTGCCAGGGGTGTGCTGCAGTCCCTGATTGAGAAGCATTTCCCTGCACCTGATAGACAAAAGCTCTTCAGCCTGCTGGGAATTGATTTATCGGCAAAAAAAACTCCTTCTCCTAATGACAATGCTTCTACTGACCAGAAGGGGAAAAAACGAAAAGGTAATTGCTTCAATAAGAAACGGATTCCTCGCTTCTCTCAAATAACTTTCTCTTATTAGTAATGTTAAGTAACTTTTTTGTCTTACAGAATTGTTATTTTAAAAACCTTAAAACGTTTTGTAGAAAATAAAAGGTTTTTGATATTCAAGCACTTCATGGCACTAAGGGAGACCTTTTATGTTCTGTTAAAATGCATTTGCAAAATTTCTAGGTCAAGAATCAAAAAAAGAAGCAAAGAAACCCCGCACATCTGGCGGTCTCTCAGGCAGCAGTTCTGATGAAAGTGATGTTGACGAAGACTCGGAAAAGGGCTCAAGTGATAACGACAGCTTCAAGTCTGGCAGCTCTGGGGAGGAGGACGAAGACGACTTCAATCCTTTCAGAGATGAATCTAGTGAGGATGACGAAGAGGGTAGGTTTAATAACACCTTGGTTTCCCTATCATGTCTGTGCTTCATATGCAGTGTTGAGTTTCTTAATCGTATGCCTGAGCATTTTTCCTCTTTGCAACGAATCCTGTGTTGCATACATGTTTCAGTAGTTTTACATTTTTTACTGTTTTAGATCCTTGGCTATTCAGAAAAGAGCACAAAAAAGGCAAAATAAAGAAGAATAAAAAGAAAAAGAAGAGCATCGATCCAGATTCTATTCAAAGTGCCTTGTTAGCATCTGGTCTTGGGTCGACAAGACCTAATTTTACAACTCCAGCTGTTAAAACTCCAGCTAGCAGTGCACCTTCAGTTGGTAAGTAGTGCATTACTGTGTATTGCTCTGCATGAAAATACATTTGCATAACTTCAAAAAATTTTAATTGGTCTTGGTCACCTGATTAGTATTTGTTTCGTAACATTGGAGTGTTTTTCTGTTCTCCCCATATCGATTCGTTCCAGCAAAAAAAGAGAGCGACAGTAACAGCTGTGTAACTAGTCAAGATGCCGTTGAAATTGCCCAACAGATGAAACGAGCGTTACTTGAACACCTGGAAAAACTTTCAGAAGAGCTTCCTCCTAACACACTGGATGAACTGATCGATGAACTAGGAGGCCCTGATAATGTGGCCGAGGTCAGTCTGCAAACGTTTCTTATTCTTCTCTAATCAAAATGAAGACTGCAAGCTCTTTCCAGCACTGTGTGCATTGTGTTCTTAACATCAAAATGTATCACTCTGTGCATTTTCTGGAAATTAACGTATGTGGAATTTGATTACTTTTTTTGATCACGTTTGATCAACGTTTCTTAAATAACCTGAGCTGAAATACTAATTAAAGCAGCTCATTGGTGAAGGTTGATTATGCTCAGGTGCTGAAGAGATTTAACCTAGTCAAAATTAAGGGGAAAGCAAAGGATCCAATATGCCTCACTTATCAAGGAAACAATGGTGATGGTTTGAGCAGCAGTTGCTGTAGAATGCTCTAGTTATTGATGGCAACCAGACTAGTTGGCACTACATTAATCAAGTCCTGGGACTTCATTTTGTACCCTTTCTGTTGGTTCAACTTGATTTAGCAACCTTCCAGCAGGACGGTGCATATTCTCATACTACTTGTATAGCAGAGCAGAAACAATTCCACAAGATAGCATCCAGAATTTAGTCCAGTGCGGGTTTCGCTTCCAGTTGTAGCCACACACGTTCTTTATTAATTTACCTGTTTGTTCAATATAATGTTTCTAAAATTGTTTCTTTTAATGCTCTGTACATCAAAATGAAATAAATACATTATCAAAGGTCACAAAAGTTTTTTTTAGAAACTGGAACTTGTTTGGTCCTTCCTAGTAGGCCTACTTTTTTGTGGGGGATTTCCCATCTCTGTTTTAAACATATGACCACAGTTTTGCACCTCAAGGCACCAAAGATACCTTGTAAGTTCAAATGAATACATTAGTTTTGGTTCCCACTTACGGTTTGTGGTTAAATTAGACTGTCAGAAACTGAGATGTTCAGGTCTCACTGCCTACTAAAAAAAATGCAAGCAGACTGATGGATATTCATGTCGGAGGCTAAAATCTTGAGGGTTGGAGGTGCAGTTAAGGGATTTCTTGCAAGTCCTTTCTACCTGAGTAGTAGTCTCATTCACGCTAAATGCACAAGCAGAGTTTGACTCATTTTTCCCCCTTATTTCCAGATGACTGGGAGGAAGGGCAGAGTCGTGAGCAATGATGATGGGAGCATATCTTATGAATCGAGGTCTGAGCTTGATGTTCCTGTGGAAATCCTGAATATCACAGAAAAACAGAGATTCATGGATGGAGAAAAGGTCAGGCAGCTGAAGGAACTGGAGCACTGCGGTGTCCTTGAGTAAAAGTCTTTACGCTAAAATGTGCAAAGCTGGGAAATGAAAACATTTTTGTAACATTTATTCCTTCCCTTTTTATTTGTCTTTTTAGAACATTGCCATTATTTCAGAAGCTGCAAGCTCTGGTATTTCATTACAAGCAGACCGGAGAGTTAAAAACCAGAGAAGAAGAGTGCACATGACTTTGGAGTTGCCATGGAGTGCTGACAGAGCAATTCAGCAGTTTGGTGAATAGCAGTTTGTTTTTTTTAATTAGTTAATCATTTGCCCCCTATTCTATGTCCCAGTTTTGAAAAATCCTATCTTGCAAAGCAATAGTGGGTATTAGTGAAAAGCTATGGGATATTAGACTTCTTGGTAGTTAAAGATACCACAGCAGTTTGTAATGGGTAGAGTTGTCTTGGCTCTCTTCCACTCTGGGTTTATATGTTCTGGCTACCCAAATTCAGTAATTTAAGCAATTTATTACTTCTCCAATAGCACTGCTGAATAATGGGACTTCCATGTTTCAACTAGATGGCTGTTGTAAAGTGCTATATGAATGCAACAAATTGATTCTTCAGACCAGATAACACTGTTCTTCAGCTGGAATCTGTCTGTAATTAATGAGTGGAATATAGGCTAACAAGCAATATACAGCTTTTAGGGCCCAGCTTCTATTTTGTGGGGGAGACTTGCCACCTGAGCCTCTTCTGCAAACCATTACTTTGTGTAAACTAATACTTTTGGTTGAGTAAATTCAGATATCGTGTATGACAAACCACACTAACCCTTCCTCTTCTGTTCTTTAGGAAGAACACACAGATCTAACCAAGTGACAGCCCCAGAGTATGTGTTTCTTATTTCTGAGCTTGCTGGAGAGCAGAGGTTTGCCTCAATCGTCGCCAAACGCCTTGAGAGCCTTGTGAGTTTTATATTCCAAAGAAGAAAAATCTTGCAAGTTGCCAGTGTTGTGCTTTTGATTGTGCTGCAAATACATTTTTGTTGTGGTAAATCATAGACTTTTCCTTTCTTCATTTCCTCTGTGGTTTTATTTGATCTAATAGGGTGCCCTAACCCATGGTGACAGAAGAGCCACTGAATCCAGAGATTTGAGCAGATTCAATTTTGACAATAAGGTAAGCTGTTTTGTTTTTTACTGTACTGGACATGAGTAATGTATCTTAAGGGAACTTTGCCAGCAGTGGTGCAATTATGCTTTTGTTTATTCCTGCAGTATGGACGAAACGCCTTGGAGATCGTCATGAAGTCCATTGTGAATTTGGATTCCCCTTTAGTGTCGCCACCGGCTAACTTTGAAGGGGATTTCTTCAAAGGTATTGCTTAATCATACTTGTTCCGCACTGCTGCAGCTTTTTAATGTAAGCCTCCTCTCTGTTTAGGGAAAGATCAAATGCTATATAGCAACATGCACTGTCTAAATGTGAAGAGCGGATAAGCATGGTTAATACTGGGCTTTAAGTTGTCCTCTTTATTTTTGCAGAAATTCGTCATGGTTTAATTGGAGTAGGATTGATAAATGTTGAAGACCGTTCAGGAATTCTCACATTGGATAAAGGTAATTGTTCCATCATAACTTAAGAACCGCTTTTTCACAATCAATATGAAGATCTAAATCATTTTACAGTCAAAGTAAACTGTTGTATAATCTATATAGTTATCAAATGAACTGTGGAAGAAATAGAAGAAACCTGAGCGTTATTTACAGCACTTCATTAAGAATCATCTGAGCTCTCTTACGTAGACTCCATTTATTCCAGTGTGAAGCTTTTCTGTTGACAACTTTTCTGTTGCTCCATAGATTACAACAACATCGGCAAGTTTCTGAACAGGATTCTTGGCATGGAGGTCCAGCAGCAAAATGCACTATTCCAGTATTTCTCCGATACTCTGAATGCTGTTATCCAGAATGCCAAGAAGAACGGCCGTTATGACATGGGCATTTTGGGTAAGAATTTCAAAAACTAAAATGTTTGAAGTAAATGAAAGGTTTCTGAAAATAGATAACAGTTTTAACCTAGACTACAAGCCAAGATGTTCAACAAAGTTTCAGGACTGAACAGTTAAATTCATTCTGTACAACTGTTTTGATATAATTTCTGTGGATTATTCTTGCAGATCTTGGCTCAGGTGATGAGAAAGTGAAGAAGATTGATGTGAAGAAGTTTCTCACCCCTGGATATTCTACCTCAGGACATGTTGAGTTGTACACGGTATGTGATTGAATTGGAGTTTGGTGCACCCCAACCTGGGTGAATTGCCTCGTATTGCAGTGGAAATTATCACTCATTTCTATTTAATGTTCTTATGGCGGTGAGCTGTTTTAAAGATATGCTTCTTAATAGCACCTCTTTTCTCTGAGGGATGAGAGTGCTGGACCTGTTTTTCTGTGCCTTAAATTTTGCTACACGAGGCTGCAGTACATTTTGGTTTTCAGCCTTTTATAAATCAATCACTAGCTCGGTATACAGCTTGGGTTTTGTTATTTAACTTTGTGCACCACTTTTTAAATCTCTTGAAAGGTACATTGTGCTTTTCAATTATTGACTTTTTGGATATAATGTGAGGGGTTCTTTTAAAAATGTGTTTCACCAATGGAAAGGAACACTGGCTTTATTGGGTAAGGAAGGTACTGTGCACAATTTACCATGAGCATTGCATGTCTTTTAAACCCCATTGTGTTTGTTGATCGAAAATGTCTTCATTTTAGGTAAGTGTGGAGAGAGGTATGTCTTGGGAAGATGCAACTTGCATTTGGGCTGAGCAAACTGGGCCAGATGATGGCTTTTATGTACAGGTGAGTAGAGGAAATTTCATTAAAAAAAATCTTACTTAGCAAAACCATATCTTATAGAGCCTTGGTCTCAAGCCCAGCCCTTGGGGGACCTAGTTTCTGCTGGCATTTGTACCATAGAGTAATCTGTTGACCTAGGTATTTTTTAGACAAAAGGTTATCAACCTCATTGCTCAAAACATTAGTTTCATTAAAGGGACAATGTATACTTATAAAATTCTTCAGAATCTGATAAGAATTATTACAATAATGCAGTTAGTTCTCCTGTGTAACAAAAATATCTGTAGGATGGTATATAGTGCCAAAATTCTTTTCATTTAGAGGGCCATCTTCTGGTTTCCATTCCATCTGGGCTCTTAAACACTTTATTTGAATCAGTTGTTGGCATAATTGGGTCTATATTACAACTGTTTCTGGGTCTTTGTTCATTGATTGTTTTATGATTAAGTGGCCTGGTAGAAAGCCACAAGTGAATATCAGTGGTGAAATGTTTTGCATGCTTTTTAAATCTGCAAAGATTATCCATGACTGTCTATAGTCGAGGTCAGGATAATGTATTAATAAACGCTGATGTTAATGAGTTGAGATAAAAAATTCAAACTTGTATATAGGCTTATTTTGCCATTTAAGGTCAGCATCTATAAGATGATCTTGTTTCCTTTCCCCTCCCTAGGTAAGAAATAATAAGAAGACTGCAATCCTGGTGAAGGAAGTCAATGCCAAAAAGAGGCTATTTCTTGTGTACAGACCAAACACAGGGAAGCAGCTTAAACTAGAGACCTATGCAGACGTCCGGAAGAAATGTAAAAAGGTAAGACTGTGGGGAAAAAATTGCATGCTTGTTGCTTTCAAAATTTAATATTGCTTTTAAAAGCATTTTTTATGTTTTAACATTTAATATTTTTTTTTTAATTTTGCTTTTCCTGTTACCAGGTACTTTCAGACGATGCTAAACAGCACTGGATGGATCAGTACATTTCGTCAGCTGACACCTGTTCGCATGCCTACTGGTAAGCCTCTAAAACTGAAGGTGGTGTTTCACTTTCATGAAGTTGAATTCTCCTTTCTTTTCTTGCATTAAACCTTGAATGAAGTACCTCCTTGTTCAACGTTCTCCTCACTCTCCCTTCCTGACAGGCGAGGTAATTGCAAGAAAGCGTCAATAGGGCTTCAGTGTGAAGTTGGGCTCCGCTGCCGAATGTACTATGTCCTGTGTGGATCGGTGCTCAGTGTTTGGACTAAAGTAGAGGGCGTTTTAGCGTCGGTCAGTGGAACCAATGTGAAAATGCAAATCGTTCGTTTAAGAACTGAGGATGGACAAAGAATCGTTGGTAAGTGATGATAAAGTTCCCTCATCCCCACCCCCATGCAAGTCATCAGGAGGCCCCTGTTTACAAGCTTTAGCCCAGTGCTGTTATTTCATTTTGTTTGTATTATCTGTAAGTAGCATACAGCTGTTTATTATAACTAAAAGTTCATATGTTTTGGGCTTATTTAAATTTGGTTCAGGGTTTGCCTACCTAATTAACAAATGTGATTAGTAGTTAGAGTACGATTGGGTAGTTTGCTTTAAGGAAATAATACTATTAGTCTCTTAAGCGTCGGTGCTTCCTTCTACTGTAAAACTATCCAAGACCAATAATTTTTTTAATGTTTGTCATTGACAGGTTTGATCATTCCAGCAAACTGCGTAGCCCCGCTGATAAACATCCTGTCCTCGTCAGACCAGTCTCAACAACTTGCTGTCCAGCAGCAACAAATGTGGCAACAGCTTCACCCACAGAGCATTAACGCCTTCAGTAACACATAGCACCCAGCGTGGACTGGACAGTGGACTTAATGTGTTACATTTAAGAACATGCTCTGTGAGCACATTGTGAGGCAGTCAGAAGGAAACATTCAGGGTTCTTGTCCAAAGAATTTTCTTTCATTAGAAGTTCACTGGAACATTCAACACCTCGCACTTCAGTTCAGAACTGAAGAGACCTCTGTGAATTTCTGGAGGAGAAATGTTGAAACAGATAAAATATTTCTTCCTCTTTTTTTCATAACGTTTCATGTGCTTTCTACTGGCTTCTGGTCATAATTACAGGTTTGTTCTGTATCTTCTGCAAGTGGAGTGCTTGAACTTTATGACATATTACAGTGCTCAGGGGTTAGTTAAAGAAAACAATCACTTTTTTTAACTCTGATATGCTGAGAATATATATTGAAATGCATGTCACCTCCCCCTCATGTTCCTTAATGTGTTGATGCATACATTGTACAAAGCATGGAATTGCAAGTTTACTACACTGCATACAAATGTTTCCTGTTCCTTTCATTTAGTGTACCTTATATTCATGCTTATGAAAATGGTTCTCAAGGTGTAAATTCCTTTTAAGACCATGTTCACCACAGGGTTCAACATGCTAAAATTGTGACCTTGCATGATTTTAAAAAAATATCATCCCTGTTTTCCCTTTGTGGTTCACTTTAGAATAAACATTTCTTTAATCATAGCTAATTTAAACAAAAACATTGGACTTGCAGAATGGCTAGTCATTGATCTTCAATAGTATGTTCATGAAGGTATATACTACCTTTTGTTCTTAAAATCCCCAAGATATCAGTCTGTAAACTGGAATGTCATTTACATTAAGGCCACTTCAACCTTGTCTGGTCTTGATTTATATTTTTTAATTTTCTATTTACACATTTTAATATTTGCTGTCTCTTGAAACAGATCTGATGCATTTAATTTCAGGACGGGACACAAGACTCTTTATAAAAGCTTTTCATTTGTGCTGTAAATGTTATAAGATCGAAAATGTTTCTCTTAAACTGGTATGGATATTTTGCTGTACAAATGTGTATAGTTACATATCTTAAATATGAATTGTTTGGCTTATAAGTAAAATTGATGTTTATAAGATATTGAAGGACAATGTCATTTCATGCTTGCACGAGTTGCACTACTGACAGATTTCATTGTATATTGAAATTAAATCTGTTTAAATTACATTGCTGCAAGATTAGGACATCTTGCATATGACCAATAAATCTAGAAAAACTTTGTGAGTTGTGGCTTGTGTCTAAGAGAATTATAGGAAAAAACTTTTTTGCTTCTTGAAAGTGTTTCAATTTGAAACATTCATTTTATACTTGGTTCTGTGCTTCAGATTAATTTTCCTCATGATGGTTTTCAATGGACATGACCAGAATGTTTTAGAGCAAGCTTGATTTTTTTTAAAGAACATTTTGTACCTCATACAAATGGCATGATTAGTCAAGTGTTTTTTAGAGCAATTTGCTGAATGAGGCAGGTTAAAGTTTTTTTTTATTTTTGTTTCTACTCTTTATTTCTAAAAAGGTATAATGTTTTCTTCTGTACTTCAATGGAGGGCTCAGGTTCAGCAACTTCTGACTGCAAGCAAATGGGTTATTTTTAATTTGTCTGCTGAGAACTAAGAAAATAATCAAAGACTATAGGAAGATGAGATGCAGTTTGCTGCATGCTGATTACCTGTTGAGATTAATCAATGAAAGCTACACATTCTTTTTCCAGGCTTGATTGTGATTGATTATGGAATCTGATTGTTTCTATTGCATAATGTATATGACCACATAAGGATTAAATTGTAATTATATTTTGTTGGAGAAGGATCTACAGCATATTGCTCAGGACTATTGGTTGGGGATCTCTTCCACTAGGAATCACCTCATGGAGTGTTTTTCAAGAGCCAAAAGCCAAACCTTCTTGGTTTGGGATTTCTGTTGCACAGAGATTTAAACACTTTTTGCTTTAGTCCTACTGCAAAATCCTGTTTTATGTGAAAAAGTAAATGGATCTACGTTTGAGTTCAGTTATACTTTATGCAGTTTACACAAAAATAATAATCTTAAGGTCTATGTACCAAGTAAATTTTATTTTTATCAAGTTTTAGATTCCTTGGTAAAACCTGGTATTTGCCTGATAATCCTAACTATAATGTGCTCTCATTGTTCCATACCAGGCCATTCCTAAAATTAACACTTGAATGTACATTATATTTGACTCTATAGTTGACTATTTCTCCTGTTGCTTCACAGTGTCTGTGTGTTATTTTCAGCTGATGGCCATCCTATTGTGCATGACAATAGCAAATCGTGGCCGTGTATAAACCAGGCTTGTGGACAGGCTCCGGCAGTTTGGGTGGTGAAGAGAGAATGCTTTTGTAAAAAATCTGGCCAGGAGGCTGTTTAATTTTGAAGATGAGCCCACAATCCCCCCATTCTCACACCCCCCAGTTAGGTGCGGAGCACGGAAAACGGTGGAACATGCGTCTCGACAATAGGCAGACAAAGTACAGTGCTAGGCATTCACGAACTCGCGCCATACGTCACTCCTGCTACCCATGGAAAAAATTAGCATTCACTTCGCTCATGTCGTGGGGTGCGAAACGTGGGCGGGGGAGGGGAGCGTGTTACACGATAGGAAGAGGTTAAGAATGGCACGCGTCCCCATTGTCAGACTTAGAAGTTCCTATGGCTGCCTCGTGCTTTTTAGATTTTTATATGCATCATATATAAACTCATACATTGTATGAGCTAAGTAAACCGCTTATTTTCTAAACGTATTGGGTACGTTAAGCAAAATATGCGGGAAAATAGACCTCCTTGTTGTTTTTAACTACCGCTTCCAGACAAACATTTAATCATTTTTGTCTGGAAAAGGAAATTATTGTAATTATCGCAACCCTTTCCTACCATGCATTCTCGATCTAGGTGGTAAAATATTACGACTAAAGTATTTACAGTATGTTCTCTAAATGTATGTGAGGCGGCGGGAACGCATTTTTCTTCCTTGCTTTAAAAGTAATTGCAATTATTAAAATATCAAAAAGTTATTGTTGCACGTTGATGAATAAAAAAAAAACACCTCGTCCCCTTAGTTTTTTAAATTAAAAATACATCTAAAAAAATACGATGGGGTTCTTCCTAAAACCTGTGATTGAATTTTTTTTTTAGAAAGTTTAAAACTTTAATTTGAAGTATAGCTGACGAAGATAACCCATCCGTTATCGTAAGAGTTGCTACGAGCCCGATTAAAGCAAAAATAAAAGTTTCAAAGTTTGACGTGGTCAGTAACCTGATAAAAAAAAAGCCAGGGTTCGGCAAATAATGTTTTTTAAAAAGCGTTGTTTTAAAATAGATTACGACCTCAAAAATATGAAATCTCTTTTCAAAACCGAATTTTAATCGCCGCGGCGTTTCCATATGAGTTTTGGGTCTGACCTCCTCGCTTTTGGTCAAATTGCCATAAATTTCCCATTGTGATGATAGATTGCATTGTGGGTGTCAATATAAAGTGACGGCCATATTTGCCGGTGCGGCTGCTGTAAACAAAAAGTGTCTGAGAGAGACAGAGACGCTTCAGTGAATTTCAGGACATTTTTATTTCTTTAATTTATAATGTCTCTGGGAATGTCTTACAAACCCAACCTCCACCCGCACATTCCTGGGACTTCCGTGAACCAAGGTAAGGCTGAAATATCCGCGAATTCTCCACTGAATCACTGTTTTATTAGATGCAAAATCCGCTGTTATAATGAATACCTGGGGAAAGCCCGTGTCTGTAGTTTTTGTCCAGTTATATATATAGGGTCAGATCCTGAGAGCTGATTCATATCCGCCATTATTACTAATCATAAAAGCTTTTTTTTTTCCGCATCCGCAAAGTAGAGAAACGGAGGTTAACTCTTCGCTGGGGACCGGGTTTGCGGTAGCCGATACCCGCTTTTGTTCGCACGGATGCTGGAAGAGTGTTATAAAAAATGTATCACTTTGGCTTCTTAAATCAGCCCGTTCGGTATCCTCCATGATTGTCTCCCCAGGGCCGATGATTGATCTGGATCAGGAATGTTCTTTTTTTACGCTCTGGGGACACCTAGCGTTCAAAATGGCTTACTGCACGGAAGGCTTACATGAATTGAATGCCTGTAGTGTAGGTGACCGAGAGAGACTCAATTGCCTAAAAAAAATCACCTCTGAAATACGGAATACCAACCGAAACGTTGAGTTTCATTTCTTCTCTTTTCAGCAAGGAATAAACCTGACGCAGCTACCTACCCGCACCTCTGAAATGTGTTTTTCTAAATTCTAAATAATAATGATAAGTGTCCAAAATTCTCAGAAGCTACGCCAGTAGCTTGGAAATAAATGAATTGTTTCTGAATTGTATGTGCCACCAATTACCCCGCGGTGTTCAGTAACACGTGAGAGTGAGCGAAGTTTAGAATAATGAGGATGCTATTCTACAGCATCCGACTGTGTGTGAGAGACAGGCGGACGCAGCAAATATACAGAGGCTATCTCACTTTAAAATATAATTAAGAGATTACATATAATTTGAATTCTAATGAAGTCTTACGAGTAGCATTGACAATTGAAACTGTCACGATTTTGCCTTGCGAAATGTAACACAGTACAGTTTAGAGCGTTCACATCTGCAAGCAGCAGCGAATGTAAATCAAGTACAACACAACGTGCCCTGGCTGGAGTTGTTCTTCTGTGTTTCGGGGGGTGGGTCTGGGGTGTGTGGAGGAGCTTCAGAAATGAGAAACGATTCCTTTTGACCTCATTGTCCGTCTCTTTTCCTCCAGTCGGGAATGTCCACTCTCCTTCCACGAGCTTAGCCACACTGCAGTCTTACCGGCCACTGGTGAATGACTACGGGCTGCCATCCTTGGGATTTTCACAGGTAATTTTAGCTCGATCAAACCACCTGGTGGTTAGTCTAAGTGAGGCGGAGGTCGTGCCAAGAGAGGCTGGTGAGCAATTCCGTTCGCTCTCCGTGGGCACAGATGTTGCCAGTCCCTTGCAGATGGCCTCTGTGTGGTCAGTGAATTGCCCTTTCTAAGAGGACTCAGCCCAGGAACTGTTCTCCTCTTGCAGGGGACCAGCGGAAATCAAGTGCCTCAAAGTAAATATGCAGAACTCCTAGCCATCATCGAAGAGCTGGGCAAAGAAATCAGACCGACGTATGCTGGGAGTAAAAGTGCCATGGAGAGACTAAAACGAGGTAATTAGTTTTGTTTAAGTGAGTCATTGAATCTATTATACCTTAATCAGCCAACTACATCACAGTGTACTTTGGCTCCGTTTTCAGCAGGTTTTAATCCCGATACAATACAGCATTCATCTTCCGGGATGCATCTTACTGTGTAAATATAAACAGGTGATCTGTTGTCGCATGCAAACTTCTGACTACTGCAGCCACTACACAAAGTGGAGATGGAGAGAACCACCCAAGGCTCAAGTCCAATATTTTCCCAGGCTCTTAAAACATAAGAGTGGATACAAGCGAGGGGAGGCCGTTCAGAAGATGTTGCCTGTTTTGATAGTTAGTAGGTAATTGTTCCAGCTCATCCAGCTTGTTCCATACCCCCACCAACCTTTTTGTAAAGTTTAAAACTCATTTTCACTTAGTTTGCCCTTGTGTCCTCTGGTTCACGTTGCAGTTCTCCAGTTCTCTCTGAAAAAGTCTGCTGGGGTGGACTGTGGCAGTGTCCTCAAGCATTTCATATGCTTTCTTACGGGGTCCCCTAGTCGCCCTCTCTGTTCAAGGCTAGAGAGATTCAGTCCCTCGGCCTGTCGGTGGTGTACAGTATAGTGACATGATGGCAGGGGCCCTTGAGCGAGCGAGAATGATGACGTGTTGTTTTTCTTTCTTTTCCAAGGGATCATTCACGCTAGAGGACTGGTACGCGAGTGCTTGGCGGAAACGGAGAGAAACGCCAGGTCCTAACCACGGGAACAATGCTTTCACACAGAAACCCTGAACAGCATCTCGCAACCCTGCCTTCTAATCATTCTCTTTTCAGGAAAGCCAGATAGCTTTCCAGGAAAGCCAGATAGCTTTCCAAATAATAATAATAATAAAAAACTTTTGACGTCTGGCCTGAAGAATGCAGAAACGAAAGCTAAAAGACCAGTATATAAAACTATACTTGACATGAACCTCTTCAAGGGTTCTTTATTCTTTTTTTTTCCATAGGGGGATTTCTGATTCTTTCTTGACTGCTTATATATAAAAAAAAATAAAAAAAATAAATAAAAATCTGATGACTTTGCATGCATGGTAGCAAGTGCTCCCAATTAAAATTTAAAACTGCATGGCTTGTACAGATTTAGACTGTAGCAAGGGACATTTTAAGATGGAATAGGGCCTAAGATTCAATATTTTTAACACACTAATACTTAGGAGACTGAGAAAAGGATAGTGCCAAATACACCACACACCGGATTTGGATAAACTATTGTAATAAAGCCATTATTTGCATCTTTGTATGTATTTATTACTCAGTGTAATAAAACTTATTTTCATTAAGACCTGCTGTGTTGAGAGATTCATTTCTGTAGGGTACCATTGCACAACTGCAATTCTGTATCTAAACAGACATAAGATATCATTCAGCTGAGGAAACCTTCATGGTCAGAAGGTGGTTCCTCTTCACACTGGAAACTGTGTGAAATGAATTTACAACTGGGAACAGGAAACACTTTTTTGCACAAAGGGTGGTGGGAATGTGGAACAGGCCACCCAGCGATGCTGTTGAAGCCTATACCCTGGCTTCTGTCAAGAACCAGCTGGATGAGGTGATATTCATGCAACTAAACTGGCTAGAAAGTTCAAAAGCCCTTTGTCTGAAACTGTTCTAATGTAAAGTAACTGCCTGAAATGTGTTTAAGAGAAAAAAATCCATTTAATTTATCAAGCAAGAAAATAAAACACTTGGAAAGAGGCACTGAACTGCATCACAGAGTTAAGTCTTCAAATGTCACTGAAATCATGTCCCAGTCTCTTCTCCTTTTAAGTCTGTCAGTAGACTTTCCTTGAACTGTTTCTTCTTTTCCAAAGTGTCCTTTGCCTTCCTCCTTTTCTCCTGCTTCTTCCGCTCGGTCTCCTTCTTCTGCTGCAGGACCTCCCCGTCTGCTCCTCTGTAGAAGACGTCGAGCTTCTCCTGCAGGATCTCGCGAGCTCGCTTTCTGTTGACCTCTACCGACCGGGTCTGGTGACACTGCAGTCCAAACACACAGGTTCCTGCCGCTTACTCAAAACACAAGATGGGCGAGGGAAACAAGAGGAGGCCATCCGGCAAAGCTTTGATTGCCAGTAGCTTCCAGACCCAGAAATCCCATCTAGCCTTCCTGTGAGGGACCCCAGGGAATCTACTTGTGATCTGAGGCTAAATCAAAGCTTTCAAATCCTTTGTGCTAGGAAACCACACTTGTTTTCAGTCCCAATTTCCATGTATGCTCTCATCATTGGGCTTCACACAGTCCTATATCCTTATAGGCTAAGAATTGAGAATCATGATCTAAAAACAAACAGTAACCACTGAAACACATTTCATTGTGTTATAGTTGTGTTACAGGTCTATATCTCACCAAATCATCAAGCTTCCACGTTTTCTATCCTGGTAGTTGAAAGGGCACTGGAGACAGTCGGTCAACCTCATTATCTCAGTCACCACCCAAAACCTTGCAATTGTTCTTCAGTATCTCTTGCTTGTCTTTTAAGGATGTGTACTCCCCTCTGAAACCGCAATGGCCAAAAGGATATTTAAAATGTCTATGATGGAGCTATTGAAACCTTTAATGCCAAGATTAAATTCAGATTCCTGGCAGCCTCTGACTAGTTTTGCAAACCACTGGCACCAATTACTGAATAAGCAGAGGTTATTCCCATGCTGCAGAGTACAATAAAAAGAAATAAACTATCATAGTTCAGCTCTGGAGCATTTTCTGGGTGTATGGGGACTATGATTTGCAATAATATTTTACTAAACTGGTATTTACAAAGCTATTTTGCAGGAACCTCTGAAACACAGGAAAGTCATTCTGAATGGCCAACAAATAGGTTATATAATCTTTGCCAATTTGGCTTTTTTATGGTGAGTGGAAAAGAGAACGTAATCTGTGCTTCGTGAATATAAAGTATTCTTTATATGACGAACTCAAAGAGTAGCAGTGATCGGATGTTTTAAATTACCTTCACCACGATACCAGACGGGACGTGCTTCAGCACCACGCAGTTACTGGTTTTATTGGTAGCCTGTCCCCCAGGACCGTGGCCCCTTACAAACTGCTCCTCCAGCTCGTCTTCGTTGACGACCGGGAGGTTCAGACAGACTTTTTTCCCGGCGCTGGAAATAGACGACCACGCCAGCGGCTTGCGTGGAAACAGCAGCCACGTCCCGGACAGACCGGACACCAGGCGACACAGCAGAGCCGACATCAAGGTGGACGTCTTCCTCTCGGGACGTCCTGTCAATTAAAGATCTAGATTCACAGGCTTGCAACTAGTTTCCTTTGCAGGTAATTTATTACATCAGGGCATTTGATTGAAAAAGAAACCTTGTTTTGGAATCCTCAATGGGGTAGTTTTAAAAGAGAATGTCTTTGGCTTTGTTTGATATTACACACACGGGGGTAACGTTATTGCTATCCTGAGTTAATAATTACAAAAATAAATCAGGTTGCATCATAATTGCCAGGAACGATGTGCTACACAAATGACGTAACAAAGGTATTGGCAGAAACAAAATAATTTCACCCCACCGCACAGCCCCTCAAGTCAATCAACTTTACACATAAGGTTGTGTAAATCAAGCTACATAGATGGATCGGTGCTTTTGTAAAAGCACCGCTATAAATTCAGCAGATTAAAGATCACTGCGGCAGTTTTAAAGAAATGGTTCACTCGGGTTTCTTGAGGCCATTTCTCTGGGTTTGATCCGTTAGAACAGGTTCGCGCTTCCCCACACCACAAGCCCTACCCTAACCCCTCACCTCCCAGGGATCAACAAGCTCTTCTCTTCCTCTTTCTCGTTGCTGTGGCGACTCCACATTGCGCATGGGCGTCCCGCCGCGGCCAATCGCAGCGTCCGAAACACAGAGAGGGAATCAGGTAAGGGCATCTTCCTAGCCAATCGACTCCCTCGTTTTTGAAATGACTCAGCCAATGGGAGCGCCATCCTCCTAGGTGTGGGCGGGATGGAGGAAGGAGGGAGGAACCGCCGTTGACTGGCGCTCGGAGAGAGAGGCGCAAGATCGGTGTCTCGCGGGCTTACGCTACAAATACAAATATGGGACAGGCTGGCAGGTAAATCAGCCGTAAAAACGTTTTTTTTTAATCCATTTTTCTTCTAAATGTCGTGATCAAAAATGAAAGAGAACACTCGTATGACTTTCACAACAGTGTTTGTCTCGGGGCATTCCGAGATATAGCGGTGTCGATATCAACACAATTTGATAAATTTAGTCCGCACTGAACGGCGAGCTCCGGCAGTCTAGGTAGGAAGACTTTTTCAACATAGCCGCACTGTCGGTCCATTTTTTATGTAACGTATCGAAACAACTGCGTTTGTTTGTTTTTTTTCCACATCTGTTCTAGTCAAAGGGGGGGTGTTTTCCCGAACGCATTGAAAAGTTGGTCCGTTTTTGACTCAAATAATAATAATTGCCTCGGGTTTCAGTTCGAGGTAGACGATGGGTGTTGATGCGGTGGCCGATGAAATGAAAATAAATGAACGCCGGCTTTCGGAATTATTTCAGAAATGGAGAACATCCGCTTATTTGGTCAATCCGATGCGCTGTGATGCAGTCAGCGTTCAAGAAAAACACCAACAACCACCACCAGCCCCCTAATCTCGTTGCATGGAGAGTTTAAACATTTTGTCAACAGTCTAGATGCTCGCTGCTGCTGCGGGACGTCAGCAGGATTACAGCTCAGAACAGAAACACAGGGTGACACTTGCCGGACATGTCTTTATTTTCTTGAAAAAATTATCATTTTTAAGAAACAATTAGACGGGAGACTGGGATGGTGGGGTGCTGGGATCTGCAGTTCCTTGTCGGTTTTAGAAATCATTTTGAACGTCTTTGAACGGAACTTTTTTAAGAACTAACAAGGGGCGACACGTAAGATACGCGGTCGTCAGTGGTAAAAAACGTCAGCAGTGTGTGATGTGCTGCTAACTGTAGCAATTGTTTTTGGTCTTCGGAATAATGTTTCCTAACATTGTGATATTCCTGATTACAACCTTCAAATATGTCAAAGTTTATTTTACTAAAACACGTTTTATTGAATGCTGGCGCCTACTTAATACAACTGCAATGCTGATAACTTGTTAAATGCATGCACTGATGTTTAATGGTCGAAAATGTTTTAATTTTATTAACATGTGATGTTTAAATGTTAATGTAGTGTGTGAATGATAGAACAGAAAGCAGTGGATAGGCTACAATATTACTGGTTTTCATTTACAGTCTTTGCAATATATATTGATCATAATGTCAACACAAATGAAAAATACCTGTGCTAGTTTTAAATATGTTGAGGTTTCTCAAGTCTTACTTATTATACCCTTGTTCCACCATTTTTCTCCACTTCTGATTTAAAATGTCCATCAGGTCAAAGTCCTATATAGTAAAGAAAGCAAGTGTTTCAACTTTGAAGTACAAAGCATGATTTTGTACTTTATGCACATCTCAATAATTATATGCATTGCTGTATGTTTCTGTTGCAGGAATAACAGCACCCCATAAGTAAATCCTTCTAGGTGTGATTATTAAAAAATTAGGCATAAGACGTTTTTGCTTCACCCACTCGATCGCAGTCTGAGGCAGTGAGGACCCCAGTGTGGAGTGAGGGTTGCACCAGGCGGAGATCAACTGGAGGAATACAAGCAAGAGAGGGGCTTCATGGAAGCAAGAGATCAAGATGAAGTATGCATTCTGACAAGGAGAACACGATGGCTGTCATCTCTCCTGAACGTCTGTTAAAAACTCCACTAAGACGTGACAGCTTGGAAGCACCCTCCCCTTGTGTCTGAAGCTGTAACGATTCCTTGTTCCTAGGATGACTGTCACAATCTAGTTTGCTGCCCGAACACCTTCTCTATATAATTGGGTGACCATGTAGTGAGTGAGCAAGTTTCCCATCCAATATCTGGCTTTCGTCAAGAAATGGCTGAACAAGATCCTGGGATCCGTTAGCTTCCAGCAGCCCAGCGGGCTAAGTGAGCCAGGTGCCGTCCTCTCATGTGTGACCTTCCTTCTCTCCTGTTTTGTTATGCAGATATCCAATGGGTTTATATAACAAGGCAACCTAAGGATGTCCACAGATGATAGCATTTCTGAAGACGTGTCCACTTCGGCTGCTCTGAGCCACGAGAATGCCGAAACCAGCGGGGGGAAAGAGAGCGAAGCCTCTATCCTGTCCTCCGAGGAAGCTGCACCGGGGCTGGCCGGGCCGGAAGAGGAGCACGCTGCCGGTGGTTCCATCCGGAAGTTGCGCGGGATCTTCCCGACTACCCCCGGGTCAGTGAAGAGCCGAGGTCCCACAGCTCCTCTGCGCAGCAAGAGCAGGTCTACACTTGTTCCTCAGTGCGGAACCGCCAAGGTCACAAGGTCAAGGGCCATAGGCTGTATCCAAGAGGAAATAGCAAATAACTTGTAAGACTAGATGGGAAAACAGTGCACAACTCACATGTTGCACTCTGCAATTACACTTAATCGTAAACGTGTGAATTGTACATATTTTATATGCACAAGCACAAACTTATTGTAGCATTGTGACCTAGTCACTCTTAGACGTGTCAGTAATTCACGTTAGCCTAAAAGCATGCAGGGCCGAATCTGAATGTAGTACTTCCCAGTCACCTGTGGAATTTAAGTCTGACCAGGAATTAATTTCAGTTCTTTGTGGCTTACAGAAATCCATGTCTCGGCGTCGATGAAGGATTCAACTCGGGAAGAACTCTTCCTTCAATAAACCCCAGTCCCATTGACACTCTGACAGCTCTCGTCAAAGAGATCCAAAGCAGCGGAGAGGCCAACCCTGAGATATGGAAGAACTGTGAGGTAAGATTGAGGCACCATTTCACAGCACTAAAAAACCTGCATATTGTAAAAAAATTAAAAGTCCTTACTCGAACCTAAAGCGGGGACGCATTCTGGCTCCTGAAGCGCCAACGTGTCTGTAGGTTTTAAGTCCAGCTGGACCCTATTCACCAGAATCGGCTTATTTCTGGTTTAATTGGACCACTTTTAACAACTCTTCCCAGGCCTTCAGCTGCTGCTTAAAAGAGACCTAGAAAACCTGCAGACACGTTGGTCCTCCTGGACTAGGATCGAGGACCCCTGTCCTAAAGGTCCATGAGTCCAGACTATATCCCAGTTTTAACACGATTGAGCAGGCTGGGAGTACGTGGCTCCCACACTGGAAGGCATGTTAGTCCTTCTTCAGGTTTATATAATACTTGAGGGTACCATAGCAATGTCCACTGGGGGGCACTCAAGCAAACAGGGTTCCAGCTGGGAATCCAGAGGCTTATCCTCTGCTCTATGCAGCTTGTGTAGGAATGCCAGCGCATTTACTTCCTGTTAATGCTTAGCCAGCAAATCTGCAGCCTTTTTACCTGTTTTTCATGGCTCCCCTGTGGAACAGAATGTGATGAACAGCACAAGTCCATTTCGAGAACAGTTACTGGAAATGCTTTAACACAACCCAGAGCGTTAGGATGTGCTGTCGTGATTCCGTTTCACATTTGTGTTTCTGTAAAAGTCTGTCAGTTTTCAATTAAAATAGCTGGTTTTGTGTAATGTTCTGGCTGTGTTACTTACATTCCTTCACTTCTCATTTTGTAAAAATGCATTTGTGTTTTAACTTACAAATAATGCATTTTTCTGGGATAAATTGTGTGTAAAGTATCGGAGAGCAGTTTTTGTTATTTTTATCTTCCTGCAAGAGCTATTGGTACTGTATTAAAAAAAAATTCAGTCCTTCTATTGTATTTCCCAAATTAGTGTCTGTGTACGTTCTCTAAGGGCAGCTTTTACATTGAAATGGACTGTTTTCCTGCCAATGTCCTCTGAAGTGGTGCGCAGCTGCGCCACACCGATAAAGCCCCAAAAGAACAAAATGCACGTCTGCTCCTGTTTTGAACTCAAATGAAGCATTAGTGTTGAATTTTCTGCACAGAAGCATGCATTACTGCAAAGCTACTACATAGTCTTGCAAATACTAATGTATGGTTTATTAAGGTCAGAATAATTTTTGTCTGTCATAAACAGGGCAGATGGCTTCAGCTGTTTCAGTTGGTGGAGAAGCAGTACCAGGATCAGATTTTAGGCCAGCAGGAGCAGTACCAGTGTCAAATTCAGGTAAGCTATATTCATTGAGAAAATTTAAAGTGTTGTGATTCAAAGTGACAGTTCTAAATTGTCTTTGTCTTTCAGCTCATACAGGATGAAATCAAGGCCTTAGTCCAGTTACAGCACAGACAGAGCGCCACCCAAAATGCAGAGGACTTGCTTAATGACAAGCCTGGGGACTCTGCCTTGTCTGGAATCCTGAATGGTGGTCATTCCAGGTCCTTTGTTCTCCACGAGCCGAGCTCAGTACCTTCTGGTCGTGTTCAGGGAGGCCGACATCAACAGCGTCAAGAGGACCCGGCGGTTACCTTGTTGCTCAGCAGTGGCTATGGGACACTTTCTGCCTCAGAACACAGCATAAACAAAGCTGAGGAGTCCAACAGCACAGAGACCACCTCTAGGGAGAAAAATGCAAGGCCAGACCCTCCTCCCTCTGGAAACCTGTCACATCCTCTCAAGTCTGAAGTTGCTTCTGAAGAAACTAACGCTCAGCCTGAATCAAGGGAGAGACTGCTCGATGGAAAAACCTGCGGAAGCTTGCAGTCTGACCCGATCCTTCCTCTTGATCAAAGCAAAGCCAACAGGCGAGTACTTGAGCAATTTAAAAATGACGTCAGTCTGCAACATTTTGTTTAAGTAAATCCTGTCACCACTTTCTGAAGAGTTTCGTTTAGAGCAAAAATTGTTCGGTTGTGAATTGATTGAAAGTTGGTTTACCCTTTTGTATTGGTAAATGTAATGCTTTACATAACTCAGTTCACTTCATTAAAATACATTTTTTACCCATTGTGTGCAGCTGGATACATTGCTTTCCACAAAAGCACAAGCCAAATAAAGTTATTGTAATTTAAAAAGAAGAAGGTTGCACTTATGGGGAAGAAAATGGATCTTGAATCTAAGGACCTGCCATTCCTCTGAAACTTACATACGTTTCCTTATCAGAGAAAATGATTAGTTTTGTTTTCCATTGTACGAGAGTCCATGTTGCACATGCAGTAGTGAAGTAGCCTGCAGTGTTTTCATCTTGTTCACCTGCCAAGGGGTGTTCATTTCAGTCAGCCATTGACGTCCTGGGCTCAGAAACAGCAGCGGAGGACACAGAAGAGCCGGGCGGTGCAGGATCAACAGCTGGAAGACCTGTCGGACCGAAGCTCAGTTGGAATTCAGGAAGCACACACAGACGCCCGAGACGAAGTAAGCGTGGCACGTTGCCTTTTTCTTATTTCTTATGGGACCTTAGACAACTCCTGAATGATGCGAGATGCCCTGGTTAGTGGAATCTACATTGTTAATTTTCAGGCTGTTCCATTCACTCCCCTTTGGTGGCCAAGATATAAAAATCAAGGTTCTGTAGTTAGACTTAATGTCAGGGTACAGGTGGAAGGTTGTTTGAGAAAAAATACAATTTTATATAAATATTTCTCCCTCTTTCGGGACAGTAATTTGCCCAGAGTTTAAATCCTTAATTTTTGATGTTTAATTATTGCTGAGTCACGATTGACCCCTTGGTCAACTGGATGGTATAATGGTTCGTGCTTGTGCTTTGAAGTCCTGGGTTTGACCCCTTGTTCCGGGTCCAGCTTCTGTCCTTGTGGAATTTGCTCATATTCGAATGGGTACTGGGTGTTCTGGTTTCCTCCAAAAACATGCAGATTTGTTTTGATTGGCTGCATATATCACTCCCTGTTCCTCACTGCAAATCACAATGAGAAAGAGGCTGCAGGAAAACAACCCACTTGCTCAATACTCCATCTGCTGGAATTTATCCCTTTACAAACAGTGTAGACTCATTTATGGATGATCATGGACATTTTTTAATTTCTGTCGTCCACTTATTATTTCAGACAAACATTAAGATTTCAAGCTGTAGTGCTTTAATTGTAGTTAATTATGCTTTCACAGGCATCACACTGATTTTTTTGGTTTCTGCAGAAGGGAAAAAAACAAAATATTACTCTATGTGGACTGTAAAAATACTGCTAGCTCCCTGAAACGCCTCTGCTGACATTATTCAGTCCAAAAGGCGACAGACTAAATTAATCTTGACAGAAGAAGCATCAGCTCGGACAACAAAGTGATTAAAGTGATAATGTGAACTGAAGCATGATGTTAGGGGGTTGGAAGAAGTTGCTTGTGATGTTCCTTCAATCTCTTTATGCTTTATCTACAGTGCAAAAGGTTGATAATGCCTCTGATAAGGATCACAAAGCCTTTATTCCTTTATTTTCAACATTAAGAGGAAAATGAGCAGAATTCGGTGCTCTGAACTGAAGTTAAAACACATTTTTTGTAAAACATGGTGCATGTGTGTTTTATTTCAGTTTCGATCCAGCTCTGCAGCACAGTCCTCACGTTTGTCCTACCTGAGAAAGCGAAATGACAGCCCAGTCTCCCTGGTATCTGAAGCTTCAGGTAAAAAGCCATCAATAAAGGTTACCTTACAGCTAAAACAAGTGGTACAGAGTGTGATAGGTTTACCCCAGCTGCAGGTCTCTAATATGATGGAAATAGCCCAATAATCATTGTTCTGGGCTAATGAGATTTGATTATTTAAATGATAATTTTACTAATTACGCTTCCGCTTATGGTGGGTTGCTTTCAGGTCTTACATACTGGAAGCTGGATGAGAATGAACTGTATCATCCTTTGCCAGACAGCATTGACAATGGGTCTTATCTGTTCTTTCAAGAGGGATCAATGAATCTGGTATGAAATTTCTGTTAGTGCTGCCCATGCAGCTGCTCTTTCCTGTCTATAAGAACATGAGAAATGACACATTTCAAATCTCAGTCCATTCGGTCACTATTAGATATTCTTGATCTCGTACTGCAGTTTCCTAAAAGAAGCCAAAGTTTTGGCTTCAACATCAGGGCTGTGTTGCTTGTGGAATCATACTCCTATTACTCTTGTTGCATGATTCCAAGGCAGAAATATATTTTTTTGTATGGTGGTAGCCAAAAAATTGTATTCTAAATATGCTACATCATATAGATAAATGATATTCTGTGTAATGTATTATTAGTGCCATTTATATTGTCCACCAGAGCAAAATGTATTCTGTGACCTAAAAATGACTACTTTTTCTTTTTAGTAACACTTGAGCTTACCTGTCTGTTTAACATGCAGCTGCCCAAAGATGAGCAAAGGCGCTCTGTTTCCCTGAAGGAAATTTACCACAGCAGGCAGAGAGAGGATAAAAATCTTCAAGGCAGGGATTCTCCTTCTTGCTCGAATCGGTCAGCTCCACAGGTAAGGACAGATCAGCCAGAATGAACAGAGCAAGTCACCTTCTTCAATGAGAAGGTAAATGTAATGTGGTTCCCAGATCCTGCAAAAGATGCGTTGTGCTCGCAACCTTCCATCTGAAAGATGTAAAGTGCCAGCAAGCCTTTTGTTCTATACTTCACCAAATTATCTAACAGGAAGGTTTATTGGAAGTGATTTTTGTTCATGCAGCTGTTTGTTTTTACTAAAAAATCATATTCATGGGTACATATTAGCATTAAAAACCTTAAGGGGCAACAAGTTGTGTATATGATTTGATTTAACAAACTGGTTTAATCTGTTGGTACTAGATGCCAATCCGACTACTTTTCGTTCACTTAAATATTACATTTTCTAATGTGAAATTAATTGCTGAATGTTTACTATAACCTCGTGAAGATCTGCAAAATACATCTGTAAGACATCTGTCAAAGTTTTAAGACTGCTACATGGAACATTTACCCTTCCATTCCCTTTTAGGTTTTGACCCTTGATCCGACACTTCACATGAAACCATCAGACAGGATTACTGGCTTCACCTCATCCCCCCAGTTCAGCAGTCCGTCGTTTCCTGCAAATCCAAAAGCTTCAGCTGCCAGAGCTCGCCCAGTCAGCCCGGACTCGATGGCTGAAGCCCCATCTCAAAGCCATACAGACTCTGATTGCACATCCAATGCCAGCAGCTTTTCAGCGGCCCAGGTGAATGGAAACCATAAATACCCTTCAGAAAGGACCTCTGTGCCAAACACGAGCTGGACCTTGCCCTCTACCTCTTGCCAAGCGTCGCATCCCAGCAGACAGCATCCATTTTTCTGTAGTGGAACCCAAGGCTACAGCCTCTTCCACGCCGCAGAGGAAGCCCGACGCTCTCCTCCCCCACCTCGGTCCAGTTTGGATGCCCAAGCGGCTATGCGCAACAGCAACGTTGTAGGTTCACTCGAAAAGACAGCTTCATTGTCCTCGCTGGACGACCCTGTGGTTCTGTCCCTGTAGGTGTAGACTTTGTTGTTTATATATATATTGAAATTGACTATGTTGATCACTATCATGTTGATAAGTGGTGTTTTGTCTTTCGTCCCCTACCTGCAGTGTGAGGCAGAACTTGAGGGAGAAGCACTCGCGCCATATAGCTGATCTCCGTGCCTATTATGAATCGGAGATTAACAGTTTAAAGCAGAAACTAGATTCGGCCAGTAGACCTCCCAATTATGATGGCTTGGAAAAGACCAATCGGAGTCTTCTTGAGAGGTAAATGGGAGTTTATGCCGCTAAAAAGATCATGCAGAGACATTTAAGATGCCATACACAAAGTATGAAAAAAATGACATAAAAGTTTTTATATAATTTTTCTTTGGACAATTAAAGCTTGCATGTATGGGTTTGTAGCTTCAGGTACAACTCTACAGCGAATGTTTAATTGGAATCATTACAAATTTACTGCAGCATCCTTTTATTCATCTGATTGAAGTTGTTTTCACTTGTGTCCGTTTCTCTACGCCAGATGTGACCATCTTGAGAGAGCCCTCACTGAGGCAAGCAGCCGTATCAGAGACCTGGAAAACAAAAACAGGCTGCTGGAGAAACAGCTGGTACGTTGGTGCAGTTTTTAATCCATTCTAAATGATTCCTTTTTTAGTTGATGGGGTTGGACAAGCCTTTAGAACAGATAAGGCCATTGACTCTGTAATGTCTCTTCAAGGTGGACTGGCCAGAACGGTATGACATGGCCAGCGCCACTGTGCAGGTGTTACAGCAGCACCTGGATGAGGTGAAGAACAGTAACAAGGAGAAGGACAACACAGTTAGCAAGCTGAAAGGCAGGGTCAGACATCTGGAGGAGGCTTTCCAAAACGCCTACAAGGTGTCAGATGACAAGGAGGTCCAAATGAAAAAGGAGCACAAAATGTTACAGGATGTGAGTTCCTCAGAAGAGAAAAACGACACACTGGTTGTCACTTTTTGTTTTTTTAAGTAATATATTCTCCTTAATCAAACTTTGTGCTGTATAAAATCATTTCACTGCTTATTGTCATGTTTAAGTATGGCTTATTGTCAGTTTATTTTAAAACCACACAGGTAGATGCAGCACCAAACAGTTGCCAATAGTTAAACATTGCGTGCCAGTAGTTAAACATTGTGATATTACAAGGGTGGAATATATAGAAGATATTTAGATATTTGTTCTCAGATACCTATTTCTTTGCTCTTCACTTAATTCCCTTAAGAAATACTGCAATGCAGGAAAACTAGCTAAAATTAATATTGTCCTGTAGTCTGTGGTGTTTGTCTAATGTATGACACTTTTTTTACAGCTTCTTATGGAATATGAATCCTTAGGAAAAGAACATGAAAGAGTTAAGGTAAAAGTGTTTCCAATAAACCTTGTTAAATGAACTTGTTTATGTTCAACTCCATCTAACTGATTGTTTTTTTTAGGACACGTTGGTATCAACTGAGAATAAGCTCTTTGATGCAAATGCACAGATATCTGAACTGAAGAGGTAATTAGGAAATGTTTGTTTAAATGAGCTTTTCATCAAAGTTTTTGTTCCGCCTTGGAAGCATCAGGTTCTGAAATGTAGATGTTTTTTTATTCAATCTTATGCTGTGTCTTGTGATTTATTTAGGATCATTTCGAAACTTGAAGCACAAATAAGACAGCTTGAACATGAAAATATTGTCAAAACACGTCATGCTGCACAGAGCCATTCTCAGGCCTCAGGAGCTGGGTATGGAGATTAATTATTTTCAACTCTTTCATGGTTAAATGTATATAGTCTCTGGACTAGTATAGACTTTAAGCTTGCTATTACTCAAACATTCATGCAAAGAACCGCAATCATGTTACTGATTTTAATTGGAACAATATTATTGCAAATATGTGGCAAAAGCTTATTATATGTATTTATTGTATTAGCTTGCATTTCCACTCTTGTTTTTTCTCTCTGTAGTCTATATCACCATCCAGATGTGCTCCACTCCCCTAGTAAAACCTCAGCAGAAGTGGATGTCAGCAGAAGGAAATGGCTGAATCCTGGTGCTGACTATTCCATCTTCACTGGCCGGCCTCTGGAGAAAGATGTGTCCGACAGCAGCAGGTAAATACGCTGTTTAATTGTTGCTGCAAATTAATGCTGGTCCCATATCCATGCTATCCCATTCTTCTCCTAAGCTTTATTATAAGTCTGACTTGAATAGTTTAAAAATGTGATTGTTGCATTGGCAGGATTTTCCTTTGAGGCTAGGTTTCACATGACCTATTTTTTGTATGCTTTACAAGATCATACACATTATATCCGAAAATAGAATCAAAACCTGGCTGGATCATGCAGAGGTGTTGACTGGGTTTCTTCCATGTTCTTCAGAATATTTTTAGCATTTTATTCCCTTTTTTAAACATCAGACTCAACCTTTAGAAGGCTTCATTGAAAGACAGGTTTGGAAAAGATCATTAAACACCCTGGTACAGAGAGAAGCTTACTGGTGACCAGTATACAGGTACCATTATTTGTACTATGGTATAATGGAAGGTGTCTCCACTTACTGGTTTTACAGGTGTTATTCACCTCCAGAGAAGGACTCGGCACAGAAAGAGGGGACTCCGGTTAGGGAACCCCAGAAGAGAGAGAGCCCCTTGACTCCGGTAATGAAGGCTCTGATTGAGCTGGATGACATCAAAGGCACTGAGGGCCGGGCCTTGAGAAAATCAGATATCAGCAACTCAAGTAATTGGACTGCTTTGTTATTCTTATTGTTTCTTTGAGTCTTTGCATGAATATGTCACTTAAAGGAAACAACATAAAATATTTTAGTAGAAATACTAAAAGAAATATTGCCTCTACCACTTTAATGTTAATACCCACAGTATGAATAATGTTACTGAAAAACCCTGTTACAAAGCTTCTAGAGCATGGAAACTAGTAGTGGATTCACCTGCTGTTTCTGGAACAAAACAGTGGGGATTGGGAGGCTTCTGTTCTGTTAAAACTTTCTGTGTTGCTGCCGGTGGATTGCAGGGTTCGGAAGTCGCAGGCCAACTGTGAGTTTTGTTGAGGGGTGTAGCAGGGAGTCAGCCTTGGAGAAAGGGAGCTCTGTGCTGAAGAAACAGAGAAGCCTCTCGCCCGTTGGGCACAGGTCTTCCTCCCTGCCCCCGTGCACTAGAAAGTCCACCACTGTTTCCACTCCAAGTAAGTGTTTATCCTTTTTTTTTTAAATTGTGCATCTGGATATTATCAAGTTCACATTTTAATATTACAAGTGTTTCACAATTCCCCAAAAATGACCATTATTCTTGTAGGCTGTACTGGGGACATGGGGTGTAAGGAGGGATGGGAGGATCACGGGGCAGGCACATGATTTAGAGACACGGTTGATTTACCCAGCATGCTAGCTATGGGAGCTAGGAGGAAACGGGAGCACCAGGAGACAACCCATGTGGACAGAGGGAACACTCCTGCACAGGTGACTCTCTGCACGTTTCAGAACTGAGACCACTGCCCAAGAGCTGTGAGGAGCCTCACTAAGCCCTGTGTTGTTTTGAGTCAGATCTCAAACGTAGAGTATGAGATCTGTGTTGGTAAAACAGAATGCCAGTGAGAAGTATAAGATTGCATTTAAATTTCTGAACTCTTCAGAGATCACAGCTCTTTTTTTAGGAATCAAATCCTAAAGTAAATCCAAAAGTAAAAGACCTCTTCTTCCTCTTTTATTTTTTCTGACAGCTAAGAGAGATACAATGATAACGCCACTTTCAGCAAAGTCCAGCCCAAAGAGATGCCCCACAGAAAACTTTTCGCCAGGGTTCAACCACTTGCTTGGCAAGGAAGAGAACTCTCAAACTCGGTAATAAGAAGCCCAAAATAATCAGTTCTTTCATATTAAGTTGCCTTTCTATTATCACTCTTTTCCTCTTTTCCAGTTGGAAACCAATTCCCAACATTGGCTCTTATTTTTATTTTCATTCCCACAATGAAAATTATGGTCTTAATTGTCTTAAACTTGATGTGGGTGTTAACTGAGATTTTGACCTCTTTTTGCAATTTTAGAGAGCAGCGTTATACCCACATTTTCTGTTCAACCTGTTTCAGGTGACAGAAGCTAGTTCTGTAACCTGTAAAACTTATAATTTTTCATGTGTTTTGATTTATGTAAAAAATACAGGGCGTATTGGAATTAATCAGTTTCCATTTTTGGGCCCTGTAGAATTGTTTAAATGAATTTTTAAATACTGTGCAGTAACGGACATGGCTCTAATGAACACATTTCTTCTGCTTGTGTTCTTCAGCTTTGATGTGCACCTCAATGAAATGGGTTTTGTATCGGCTTCACCATCTCACAGTCCACGAAAACGGCTTCAGTTTATGTCGCAGGAAGCAGAAGGTAAATATACATATGCTCAGTGAAGATTTATTCTGTAATATACAATAATGCTGCAAAACAGTTCTTAAGGATCTCAAGAACTGTTTGATTTAATTGACAGTTTGTGAACTGGGGAGGGCGGGGTGGATATAGGTGCATTTAAGTTCAACTGAAAAAGAATATTTGAAAGGAATGAACATGACTGGGACTTTTTTTGAATTAGAACATTATTTCAAGCATGGTTTTTGATTTTGATGCATGTCATGGACTGCCAATATTTTTATAGTAAGTCATCATTCAAGTAACTCTGGACTCAGGCTTGATAGCCGTACAGAGTCGGCACTGCAGGCCGTGAGGCAGGGCATGGTGAGCAGCCAGCCCACCTGGGAAGAGGATTCGGAGGGTCATGCGGCTGAACTGCTGACGCCCTACGAAACGCAGCTCCCCTACCAGGCCAGGCTGGAGTCCCTGGCCGAGACAGAGAGGCTCTTCGATGAGCTCACGAGAGAGAAGCAGCAGGTACAAGACATTCAAATCCAATCATTTCTGCTCAGCTGCCTACCACTTGTGCCTAGTACGTAATGGTATGTTTCCTCTGGACAGAACAAAGAAACTTTTGTTACACAGGAAATACCCCTCAAGGATTTCTAATTAACAAACGTAGGTTAGTGGAGTTGAACTATGGGATTGATTATAGTTATTGTTAACCAAACTAAACACATCACATGGGAATACAGTATATATTTCACGATATTCACTTTTTAAAAAGAAAAACAGATGAATGCAGAAAAAGTACTGAAATGCAGAAAGTGGCAAAACACAGCTGAAATCTAAATGACGCAGATCTGAGAGTGTTTCATATGGAGAAAATCAGGTAGTTTTTTGACTGTGTACTATTTGTAGGGCTATAAAAAAAGTTAATGTTGAACTCATCCTAACATGGCTAAAAATGCAAAGTAGCCCAGGGAGACAGAAGCAGGCTTCAATAGTTCAGTGAAGTGAAACAGGCAACCAGCTTGAATAAAATACGAACTTCAGTTAACAGTGCTGAAAATAAAATATGGTCTAAAATGGAAAATATACAAGCGATTCTGTAGTGTTTGATCTCTGGTTACGATGGAGTGAAATAACTTTTTCCCTTAGCTAGATCTGGCATATTATCCATAGTGTATATTGTCTGTAGTAACTCTTGCTGCATATTTTATAGGCACAACTACATTTTTATATATTATTGTGTGTCACCCTTGATTGGTGTGTCTCCTAAGTAAATCGAACACTATGCAGTATTTTATTAGATTTATGTTGAACCAATATATTCTAAATTACTAATGTATTTCAGCTCTAAAAATGCTGTTTTCCTTTAAAGAGACAGGAAGAATGTTCTGTAAAGCAGGTCTAGGTTTAATTTCTCACGTCATCATTCTCGTTTGTGTTGATTCGCTGAGTCGTCTAAAATTGTCCCTGCTCATTTTTCATTTGAACAGATCGAGGCTGCGCTGAGCCGCATACCAGGTGGAGGGGGGAGAGTGACCTTGCAGGCAAGATTAGATGAAGTAGGCACATGCTAACACATTTCTATATATACATGGGTTATAGTCCCTTTTAACTGAGGTCTCGGGAGAACATCATCAAGTGGGGAAACAAATGTTAAAAGGGTCATATTAAACTTATCCTGTCGTGCTGCCTCAAACTCTGTAGTTCCTTGTAAATGTGAAAAGATATAACCAAACTACTCGTAATTTCGCTTAACTTTGAGTATCATATTGTTTCACCTGTCCTTTAAACAAGTTTTCCCTTCTCTTTTCAAAAACCCCCCTTTAATTTTACGTGAGCCATTCACAAGCAAAAAATAGACTTCTAATGAGCTTTTGTTGCAGTACAATTACTAATCACATTTCTGCCTTCTGTGTGTTTCAGGAAGCCTTAGAAGATCGACTGGAGAAGATCAATCGAGACTTGGGTTCAATCCGTATGACTTTGAAGAGGTTCCATGTTTTACGGACCTCAGCAAATTTATAGAAATGTCCCATAGATGTACAAATTGCACTATATAGATTAACACAGCTATTTGTCAATCTACTCAACATGATTTTTCCAATGTACCATATTGTATATGTGCACAGACTGTTTTCTACTTTTACTATTGTAGCATATATTTTCTAGGTTTTATTACAGGGAAAAAAATGTTTAAAAAGGTATATTTTTAGAAATGTCTGGATTTATATAAACATTACTTTTTTAGACACTTTAAAAATAGTATTATATATGCTTACATGCCTTGTTCCAGTTAATTATGTATATTTTATATCTGCAGATTAATTTAAATGGGTGGATATAATGATCAAGCTGCAGTGCATTTTAAAAAGTTATTTAGCTTATTTAGGAATATACGAGTCTTCCATTATTGAAGAAATGTTTTTTAAAAGCTGTGAACTCGCATTGTACAAACATATAATTTTTTTTTTAAATGTTCATTGATACTTGCCATGTCACCACAAGTTAATTGTACTTGTATGTTCGTGTAAGGCTTCGATTTAAAAAAAAATATGTAAGACAGGAGAAGCATGGTGCTGTTTTCACAAAGTGTTTTATGACTGTTCCATAAATGAGAGCAAAAGCCTTTTCTGTTCAAGGCTCTCTGTCAGGTGGAATTTATGGTTTACAAAGCTAGAGAAACTGAAATCTGCATTGTGCATGATTCCATGACTGGAGTAGTTCTTTTTCAGTACTTTCTTCTTATGAAATATTTTTGTCATTGGAGTTATGTGTAGCTTCACAGCCTGATTTGTCAGGTTATGCAAGTCCAGGACTGTTAGTTCAGGATTAGCAATAATCAATGTCTGTGAAAGTTGTTTTTGGACTGCACGATGTTAAACATGTTTTTTTAAACATTCCATGACATTCCTCTTTCAGCCTGGATGGAAAAGCATAATCATACATGTACACTTTCTGCCAATTGTGTGCTTGTTTACATGATTTCATCTCCAAATAAACCATCTCACATTGTTTACAGTGACTTTTCTGATGCCAGTTAAACACCAGAGTGCTGTGTATAAAGAAATCGACAAATTACACTGCAGCCAGTTTTGAAATGTTTACTATAATAGCTTTGAAGTAACATCTTTTTCCATCATTAAATTCATTTACTACACATTTTTGCATTGTCGTCTATGTTGTTTAATAGTTTCTACTGAGACAGAGGATCTGGAAGCTTGATTACTAAATATTAAGCAAGTTTTAAGGCAATTTAAATCAAAGGCTTGCTTCTTTAACATAGTCATTGGAATCTATAGTGGAGGAGAGGTAAATGAAAACTTATAGACCAGAATGTACCTGATCTTTGGGATCTCTGATAAAAAAAAATGTTTAAAACAAATATCAATTGTAATTGCTTCAGTGTTAAAGTACAATGTATTCATAAATATTGAAATATAGAAATAACATTTTAAGTAGTCTAATGAGTACATCATGCTATGTTTTAAATAGGATTCTTAATTTCTGAATTTCACTCCTCTGGTACACGCCTCTACATAAATGAATCCAGACAAGAAGTGATATGAAATTTTCAATACGCTTACTTTTTGCTCTTCTAGTTAAAAACCACTGTACGAGGATAACATGAAACTGTAGATACCAGTACGATGTATCATTATGTAGCGTCAGCATCAGCTGCACCCAGACAGGAGATGGGCATCATCTCCATTAACAGACATTAATCAAACATCACCCAGGGCTGTGATAGGTAGGAGGAAGCTACAGAGTGCAAGTCTGACGACAAAGAACAGGGTATCCGTACAGACTTAAAATGAAACCCAGAAAAAATAGTACAATCACATCAATATAACCAGTCTGATCTGCACAGAAAATCATATTGGTACCAAAGTACACCTATCCTGTAACATGCAGCATATAACAAGGTAGTTTAGAGAAATTCAGCCTGGGATTTTAAACATCTCAATTGATTCAGTGCGTTACTGTGGATAAACTGATTTAAAAAATGAAATTATGCGTGCAGGCTGCACTCACTAAGAGTAAAGGTCGTTCGAATGGAAAACATGTAGCTGTTGTGTTGGGTCATGAAAAGTTTTTAAAAAAGGTGTGTATACTGTACCATAATACGCAATACGCTGCCCCCGCAAAAAGCGAAGGAAACATTTTGACAGTGCCGGGGAGGAAGATTCGTATCACTGTCATTATGCAGTCCATTCGTCACTCCCGGTAGTGTTCGTTTGAATACACACGCACTGCAGGGAATTGTTTACATAAAATGTTAAATTGGAAGTAATTGCATCCGTTTTAAAAATAATTATCCATTATTGTCATTACAAATTACAATATACACTTCTCATGTAATTACAAATTAAAATATTGTTCAAAGTCGGAATTAAGGCATATAACTGTTAAAAACATTTAGGACTTAAATAGTACTTTGTGCATTTTTTTTTTTATTTTGTGCGGGTCGTGCAATATTATGAATTCGATCAGTACACCGGAAAACACCCGTTTCCAGCCGCAACTGAAATTAAGAAAAAAACATCAGAACATTTTTTATTTCCATTGTATTTCAACACATGGCCGGAAGGCGGCGCCATTTCACCGGTCCGTGCTGTGCCGGCGGGTGTAATGGAAAGCAGGAACGCGAATCGCTGGGGAAGTCGGAGGTACGGCGGAGTGGGCAAGGCTTGTTAAACGAGCCGAAGCTGCCAAACCAGTCATTACATTTTCGGCTAGCTAGGGCCCTCCCACCTCCTCCTTCTACCTACCAGAGGAGGAAAAAAACACACACAAAAAGCTAACTAGCGCCATCCTCACAGCTTTGTTCTTGCACAGAAGAGAGAAAAACAGAGGGGTAGGCAATCAGTGCGGGGCTGACAACACCGGGGGATATCGAAGAGTCTGCGTACTTTGACTCGTCAGTATTGCACAATGTGACACCACACCGCTTGCCTATCTTCTCGACCACAAAAATGCAGAAGGCCAAAGCATTTTTAGTCCGTTTGAGCTAAAAGCCAGTTGTCCCCCTCCACAGCGTCTGCAATGCCGAATTGAAACACTGCTCCGTCCACGACACTCGCCTCGCCTGTCAGCCCGTCCCAGTTCAGCGGGACCCGAGCGGAAAACCTGCACGGAATTATTATTTTTCACCTTTTAAGCCCCCCGTAAGGTTTTCGCTAACGGGAAATGTCGTATGTTACGATTTTTGCATACGGCGGCCAGCCAGGGATTATATGAACACGTCTGTGATCCCGAAAGAGGAAAGAGCAGTGGGGCGCTTCATTACTTCAATTTTCGGTGAGTAAAAATAGCGGAAATGTCATTGTATCTTGTTTATAGGCTGATGAATAATAACAATAACAACAATAATAATAATAATTGAACATGCTGCGTTGTTGCTAGGAGACCAGCACTTGTGAGTAGCCGAGATGTGAGTTAACTTGGGGTCAGTGTAAAGACTGGAATGCTTCTTCTTTTAAATGAGGATTAGTGATGGAATAATCCTAATATGCAGACTACATACATCGTATAACCACCTAGAGGGGGTTGTAATGGTGCACGGTTTTTAGCCGTTTCCACTTGGTGTTTTTCAACGCGTGTTCTGCATTGCATTTCAGGATACGTCAAGAAAGATACACCGTTTCGTTTCCTTATCATTTCTAGTATAGGTGACCTTCAAAACAAGCGAGGTTATCCCTAGTCATGATACACGATCACATGATGTGATTGCTTTTAATGGCGGTTAATGCCCCATCTTCTCAAATCTGCCAGCACGTAAATACCACCGCGTTCACCCCTATTGATATTCTGTGCCTCACCTGCAAATGTCACACCGCAGCTCCGTTTCACGGCAGAGGAAGATCTGCACTGCCCACCTTGGCATTTTCGAGCAGTTTGATAGTTAGCATGAGTTATTTTTTTCCCTGAGTAAAAGCTTATTATGTATTAATACGTCTTTATCGGTTCCTTGACATTTATTTGTGTAGCATACGAAAACGGTCAGCTATTTACTCTTTCGAGGGGGTCCCTCGGTGTTATTAGTTGCGATACCTGGGCTATTTTTCAGGGAAGCGATTCAGTAGCTGTTTTCAGGTTGTCTTAAATACGAGGTGCACCACTCCAGGGCATGTTTTCACTGGGACGGCGAAGACAGCTTCGCCTGTGCATATTAATTGGTTGGTGTTTTTTCGCGGTCTGCTTGCAAGTTTTGTGGGTCTAAAGTGGCTTTTTGCTAATCGACTCTGTGCATTTTTAGATTTATGCTGCAGTAAATTGTGTCTGAGCTGCACTAAAAATACCCTTGCTGCTTCCACTGATGATGAGACAAGTCATGATCGCACATAGCAAAAGTCAACAATTTAGCGCGGTGCAAGCGTCGTCAGTACTCAAGTGTTCACGGATAGTGTTTCACATACAGTGGAAGTTATTTTCCTGTTTAGCGGAGTTTTCTTTAATGAAACTGAGTTAAATTCTGTGAACGTGTTTCTTGATATTCTGGTTAGATGTACATATTTTGATATATTTCTGCAGGATTGCAGTGTGACACAACTGCAGTATTGTAATCTTGTCCCTGAACAGAGAATTAGTCGTTTGTGGGTCTGGCATGTGACCACAATTTGTGTCATTTATTTATTTTCTCCTGCTTGGTTTTGGGCGCTCAGTTTGCTGTTATTCTTCTATAGCGTTTACAGACTGCAAACGACTGGTCTACCCAACCAGTACTCTAAGCAGGGGATTTTGTATCCTGGTGTGCTAATGGTTTCTTTTAATTCATCAAATCCAAAAGACTGAACAATTTAACTGTGATCAGTTAACAAGTATTGATTGAAGTATTGATGTATTTGATTAAGTAATTGAGCAATCATTTGGTTGAAAAATCCCACACAACACTGTCACACAGCACTGACACCGTATATTCCAGCTCATCAGTAAGAGTGTAGGGGGATATTATTGCCATTATAACCCAGTGCACATGTTGCTGGATACTGTTACATGAGACTAACTTCTCTGGCCATCCTTTCCCAGCAGTGTAAACTGCGTGCTGTTAACCGCTGGATGAAACTGGACACTATCACAGAGCTCGACTCTCTGAAGAATCGCTAGATCTCCACGCGTTCTGTCACAGCAGTCTGGTGTGATAAAAACAGGCAAACTCATTTTCTTGGTGTCCTACATGTGCTCCGAGATTGCCTTAAGGCTGTCGAGCGAGACCATGTTTTTGCATTCATTCATCCATTTTCTGATCATCCCGTTCGGTTTCGTGGGGTAGCCAGAGCCCATGTTTCCACACGGAAACGGAAGGACAGATATTTAAAGGATGGTTTCAGGTGACATGAGCCTCATCCTTCCTCAGCTGCCTCTGAAAGCAAGCACAGTGTTCTTGCTGTGTTTATGTTAGCTAGATGTTCCACAGGCCTCTTGGGTAAGCCTGTAGGGCCCTTGCATGGAACATTAACGTCTGTCAGACTGGAACAGCTATTATCCTTTCAATTGTAAACTGTCTCCTTCTCCCCCCATTCTGCTGTGTGCATGGCGTTAAAGGAACGATCTTTCTCAAGGAGGTTTGGAGGGAGTTTTGTAGGGTTCGCATGGAAAGGATGACTTGCAAACAAAAGCATTTTTTTCCCCTTTAACAGTTGGAGATACTTGCTCCACCCGCCTTGATGCTGCTATTAAGTGAAAGGACTTGACATTCCTGCAGGTTTTTGGCTGTCTATTTAGAAGGCAGCTTGAATAACATGAGGAAACATGAAAGTTGTTTACCAGGAAAAGAGCTTTCCAGAACCCAAAGCCAGCGGAGAGCAGTTTGAGTGGCTGGAATCTGTGTTGGGATGTGTAATTCTTTCTCGCTCCTACAACAGGGTGGATCACTGTTATTTCCTATGCTGTTTAATTGACATCAAGCCTCACAGCACTAGGGTTCAGTTCAATTCCTGGGGTGCTGTCTGTGTGGAGTTTGTATGTTCTCCCCGTATTCGCATGGGTTTCTTCCAGGTGCTCCAGTTTCCTCCCACAGTCCAAAGGCATACTGGTATTTTAATTGGCTCTTAGGGAAAGTGACCCTGCTGTGAGTGTGTGTGTCTGTGTCTCTGTGCGTAAACCGATGGACTGACGTCCTGTCCAGGGTATATTCATCCCGGTTCATGCTGGGATAGA